CATGCTCTGGTCCATGGGGTCACGAAGAGTTGGACACAACTTAGTGACTAAACAACAACAATAGATATTTCGCTGGCTAGATAGCTCTGTGGTTTAGGTATCTGTCAGCAGAGCCAGAAGTTGGGAGTTCAATTCCCTACTGTACCTCCTATGTGTACAGCCAGCCTTTGTGGCCTTGGGCAAGTGTGAACAGCCAGCCTTTGTGGCCTTGGGCAAGTTGCACAGTCCCAGGATGCCTTGAGAGGGGAAAAAAAGTCTGCTGTACATTGTTGTTCCCTGCTCTCCCAGTGAGCTGGGTACTCAATTCACCAACCTTGGAAGGAGAGAAGGCAGAGTAAATCTTGAGCCAGCTACCTGGGATTGAATACGGGTTGTGAGCAGAGTTTTGCTGTATTTCAGTTCAACCACTGTGCCATGAGGGAATGGTATACCATTTCCAAGTACTCTCTACCTAGGAAACCCTAGGGTCGTCATAAGTCAGAATGGACTTGATGGTATATAATTATTATTGTAACTGCTAGATGACGCAGCGTTTTCGCGCCCTCATTAAGCGAGGCGAGGGCGCGAAAATGGCTGCCGGCCATCCTGAAGCATCGCTTAATGGTGAGTATTTGGCCCATTTGGAACGCATTAAACGATGTTTAATGCGTTCCAATGGAAATCGCTGCCCCGTTCAGCGATGCTTCAGCATAGCGAAGGTTAATCCGGAACGGATTAACCTCGCTATGTGAGGCACCACTGTACTCTCTACCTAGGAAACCGTAGGGTTGTCATAAGTCAGAATGGACTTGATATATAATTATTATTGTAACTGCTAGATGATGTTGCACACAAACAGGAAGCCCCACATATAATAGGTAAGAAAATTCCATTAAATAGATCAAGACTAGAGATGGGCACAAACCACTACTTTGGTGGTTAGTTTATTGCCCAGACAGGTGTTTGGCACTTCAAAACACTGCCTCCTCCAGTAGGAACCCAGAGACAGTGTCAGAAGCAGGTGAGGCTCGGAAGCCAGGCCACTGCCTCCAAATGGGCGCCCACCGGAGGAGGGAGAGTTTTGAACCACTGAACAGCTGATCAGGCAAGAAACAAACCAGCACAAACCAGCAAACTGGTGGTTTATAGCCATCACTAATCAAAACTTCCCACCAGAAACCTACATTTAGTCCATTCTTATTGTTTTAGCCACATTCCCCATAAGCAGTCCTAAAGATTCAGCTGTTTGGGCAATTTAGTTTAACGTACTGATTGGGAAAAGACAATGAACAAAGTTCTTCAACTTTTGGTATGAATTACAAATAAATCTTGAAATGAAAGAAGGGATTTATTTTGCTTTAAAAATGAGTTTCTAGATGCCATGAGTTGAGAGACAGGGGATATTGAAACTATACTTATAAGCATATAAATATATTATTGCCTTGGGTCGTCTTCAATAGAAAGAATATAAATATTATAGAAAGATAAATAACACATTTTTTTCCATTTTATATTTCTTCTCCAAGCATGAAGGCACAGATCAACCCAAGAAACTTTCAGCTTTAAAGTGCTAGACATACAATGGAAGTTGCTCTCTTTATTTTGTCCAAATCAGACAAGAAAACAAAATCTAAACATGTAAATCTTGTCTGTTTCTCCTTCTCCTTTTCTCATAATTCAGGCAATAATCACACACTGATGACACATTTATCTCCTCGTACTTTTCACAGAGTACACCCAGTATACTTTACATTTTAGGCAGATGTAGAAGGCTATAATAGATCTCCCACACCCATATTCCCCAAAGACATCATTGAATCAGATTTTTTTAAAACTTCAGTATAAAGAGTGGCAACCCTGTCCTATAAACACAGCAAAATTACAGATTTATGAGACAGGGGAGAACCCTTAAGGGCAATGGTTCAAAATAGTGTTTATGTTCACAGATGAAGTGTTTTGCAAATGTGAGGAACTATTACTGTAATTGTTCCTGAACAAACCTGAGGTTTTAGTTCCACCTAAAATAAATAGGTTAATAAGCAATGCTCATTTTCCTTCCCCCCACCTCCAAGAACGCAGACATGTTAGTCATTTGCTATAAAACCTGTTATTACTTCAGAGTCTGGTTTGAAAGCATGTACAGGCAACAATGTTTTTATGCAACAAGCTTATACAAACACTGAAATATTGCAGAACGTATTTGGGAACCACATGTTTTTTCTACACACTTTAAATGAAACAGCCATCTCCTCACAGCATGCTAAGGAAGGCTTGACACCATATTAAGACACGAAGCAACCAATAGAAAGGAGTGTTGGATTAGCTTGACTGCAGAACCTAGGAATGTGCATGCCTAGGAGATCTGCATTCATTTCCCACCACAGTCCTCAGCTTGACCAAAGGCGGTTTCTCTAACTTCATACTTAACACTAACAAGGGTATTTTCTTTAATTATGTAATGGCTAAAATCCTGTTGTGCAGTTCTCTATGGGCACTAAGGATGATGTAATCATCATCAGCAAATCACTGCTATTAAAGGTGATTTGAGGATGCATGCAACTCATATACAATGCAACAAAGTTGCATGCACCCCAAAATGGCCAAAGGAAGCCTTTAAACAGAAGCAAATTTCCATTGATGAGGATACTACTGTCATCGCTGATTAAAGGGAACAGGATTTCAGCCGTTTGTAGGCATCCTTCAGTCTCGAGAGACTATGGTAAATTAAGCCATTTAGTGCCAACCTAGCAGTTCAAAAGCATGCAAATGTGAGTAGATAAATAGGTACCACTACGGTTGGAAGGTAACAGCATTCCGTGTCTAGTCATGCTGTCCATGTGATCATGGAAACTGTCTATGGACAGACGCTGGCTGTACGGCTTGGAAACGGGGATGAGCACTGCCCCCTAGAGTCGGACACGACTGGACTAAATGTCAAGGGGAACTTTTACTTTTACCTAAACATAAACAAGCAACATAACTAAAAACCAGAAATAATTATAATTTAAAGTAAAGTTGGCAGAATGGGTAGTATAAAAGGCTTACAGGGGCTTAGTAGCCACATTGGATTGGCACTCAATTTGGGAGTTGCAGCAGTGTGCATGTATGATATGTGAAATATGTTAAAGAAATTTAACCTACGATACTTTCAACTTATAATGAAATACTCAGTTTATACTGATGGAAAAAAAATAACATCCTGATTTTTGTAGTTTTCCCTAATTTCCCCTGTATTTCTTCCCTGCAAGTAAGATGACACCGTGTCATTTGTGAGGAATTCCTTTAGTTTTCTCATGGATCTTTGGGAAGACAGTTTGACATCAATAAAAACTCATGGTAAAAAAAAATAACCAACAGCATCTCAATAGAATATCAGCAGAAACCTATGTGTGTGGCAAAATATCATTATTTATTTAACCTTTACACTATCTCAGATCAGTGGTTATTATACAAATGATGCTGTGGCTGAAATGTATTGGTAAAAAATAATGCAAGAATTAGGGCACTTTATTTACATAACATGGAAAAAACACTTTAATTTGCATAACATGCAGATCTGCATATTTTATAACTGACACTGCCTAATTTGCTTACTATGCTAATTAGGTGCTGCGTTAGAGAAATGGACTATTTTAACCCTAGTTAAGGCTTCATTCACAGTCAGAGATGGACAGCATCACATACCTTCTAGGATGTGGGAATGGCTATGGGAACACCACAATGAGATCCTGCATTTCTAAACTGACCATTACATCACTGTTCCTGCCATCTAGCTTTCAATGTGCAGTAATTCTTGTGCCTTTATGCAAAAACTTTCTATTACAAGAATTGTAAACTGACATGTAAGGTAATGCAGCCCAGAAAAAGATGATTTCTCACTTCATTGAGAATTAGCTTGTTAACTCCTTGCTTCTGCTATGGATGGCTGTCTCCCCAAGCCAAATGTCATCAAGTGTGCCTAGTACCCGGGGGACTTGTCTAGATTAAGCAAGATATTCCTTTAAAACTACAGAGAAGAGGCCTGCATGAAGTACAGCAATGTGATCTTACCTGAAAGCTGACACTGCCAACTGGCAGGTAACTGTGATCCTCCAGCATGCTCAGGTATTCTGCAACCAGAGCAGCAGCATGAACCAGACACATGGCAGCCTCTGTGTAGCACCTTCTTTTGGCATGCTTCTCCGCCATGTTCTGGAGCCAGGTAAGCCTTAGGTCAGGTGATGTCTGATATCCCTTGGCAATTCTAATAAGAGAACATAGTAAAATCCATATTTCATTTGACCTAGAGTTAAATTTAAAAGCTCTCTTCTTCCAGAGACATGCCATGTCAGATTGTCAGGACTGAATTCTTATATAAGATAGCTACAGATGCAATAAAATTCCTCTATAATATTTTCTACACTTTTTCTCCTTTATCATTCTCTAGTTCTCAAGTCAGCTGCAGCTAGGATATTTACACCAAGAGTCTTCTTTTCAAACATCTTCTTGCTAACATTTTTTTCACCAAATTCCATCTTCGGAAGGAGCCTTGTGGCGCAGTGGTTAAACTGCTATACTACAGCCAAAACTGTGCTCACAATCCAGGCTTCAATCCCAGGTAGCCGGCTCAAGGTTGACTCAACCTTCTACCCTTCCGAGGCTGGTAAAATGAGTACCCAGCCTGTGTGAGAGGGGGATGTGTAGCCTGCATAATTAACTTGTAAACCACCCAGAGAGTGCTCGAAGCACTATGGGGCGGTATATAAACAGCACACTTTGCTTTTGATCTCATTATATATTTTTATTTATATCTTAAATTCTTATTCTACCTTTCCACTAGAGATAATGGCATTCAAACCTTTTAACAAATGTTATCAAAATAAGTTACAAATAAATTAAACAGAAGAGCCATTAAAATCCTCCCAATATTAAATAAAAGTCAGAATAAGGCCAGTTTGAGGAGAGAGGTCTTCACATCATTCCTAAAAGCAACAGGAGTATAAACTGAAAATTCAAAGGGCAGGTGTACTCCAAGGTCTACAAACAACACAGCAGCAAGCCCTCTCCTGTGTGCCTGTCCAGCAGGCCTGTACCCCTGATGGTATTTTTAGTAGGGCCCCTTCCAAAAATCTTAATACACAGCAGGCTCATTATGAGACAGGTGATCCTGCAAATAAAAATCTAAAAATGTTTTTAGAGGAGTTAAGATTCTGAGCTATTGTTTATTACTAAATCCAAGGAGTAAATTACTGGAGTGGTTTCATTTCTGTCAGAGAAGCTAGAAAATCTTTTTAAAGAAATCAGTTAATTCAAATCGACACCTGCTATGTCATTCTTTCAACTGTAAAATTGTAGTGGCCAGTTTCTTGTTATGTGTATAATTTTGTTGGCACAAAGTGAATGACGTAATCAAATTGCCAGCGATTAAATACTTCCTTTTCCAGCTTCAGGAGATGTGCGATTTAGTCTCACTGGCATGCACCCCAAAATCAAAAAAGGAACTATTTAATTAGTGTCAACCTGCTGCTAACAATAATGTCATTCCCATTGCACAGACTGATAGTGGACTAGGACCAAAGATGTACCTATTATTGAGAGAGAGAGAGAGAGGGAGGTTATTCTATGGTGCCCTTCTCTGTTAAAGGAACTCGTTATAATGCACTAAGATTAAAAGGACAATAAATTATTCAGTTTTTAAAATAAAGCAATTAAGCATATGATAATATAAAAGCTAGTCATCTAAATAAATGTAATAATTCTGAAACAGGCCTAGAAATCTCTATAAAAGATTTTTCACCAATTCCAAATGTAAATTTCCTGATTTTTTTTTTTTGTGGGAAACCATGATATAAATTAGTCATGAGCATATATCATTAATAATAAATTATTCACATGGAAAACTTTTATTTAAGACAAATTTAAACCTCAAAGGTCTTGGCACATTCATTTTAAGTTCTCCAAAGCAAATACTAAAGATTTTAACCTGTACATAAGATCCATGAGCATCTCTGGGTCTTCTTGAAACTCTCGCATTTTCACTGTGTCTGATAATATGCTATTCAGATTACACAACAGCTCTTCTACCTAAACAAAAAGAGGAAACCCCAACATTTTGAAGAACAGCAGTGTGCTGCAACATGGCTTCTGAAGTGTTCATAACATTTATGGTTTATTTTTTTAAGGAGGTATGACTACATAACATGGGTATGTGCACACATTTACATTTACCACCCCTAGAATCCTAGAGCTTTTTTTATTATTATTTATTTATTTTTATTTTTTTGGTTGAGTGTGGACAATCATACCTCAGTTTTGTAAACTGGGATAGGAATGACTTGCAACAACAGTTAACAGCTTTAGGAAAAGCCAGGACATCAAACCACAAGGTATAATCCTACTTGTGGCTTGAAGTTGATTAGAATTAGGATTGTTCTGGTTTGTTCTTTGACTGTTAACTATAGTCTCCCGGTATGGACAAAGCAGGAAACTACAGTATAGTTAATGAGAGACTCTCTGGTTCACGCAGAGAAAGGAGTAAAGAGGATACAAAAACACACTTATATTTTGTCTCACTAGGCCAAGCTATGATTATCTGAACTACACAATTTTGTCAAATATGCCCTGGAGGAAATCCTCAATAAAAGCTGAGCTTCAGTGCTGTCATGTCTCAGAACTTCATACCAACTATTCCACGGCTACATTCTGGTGGGTCAAACAACAGGGGACTTGCTTGTGTTTTTTTGCATGTCATGGTGGCCACTGCCAATTCCCTGGCCTCTGCTTCCGGAATAATCCACATGAGAAAAGACATACTGAATTTACTCTCTCATTGTTCACTCCCTTTGATCTAACAAGTGAACAGGCAAAGGAGGAGGAGCAAGGCCAGGAGAAAGCTTCGAAGATTGTCAGGAGGCCCCCCTACTCAAGGTGGTCAGCCTCAGCAGGAGCCTGCTGATACTGATCCCTGCTAGCACTCTGGCTTCTGCTTCTTCACAGGGACAAGACACACAATATTTATCCAGATTGCCACAGTTTTGTTTTGATTTTTTACTTCATTGAAAGGTTTTGTTTTTGTTTGTATCCTGCCAAAGAAATGAAGAGGTAGTTCTCTTAGACTGCATGTCAATACCCAGTCAGAAGAAAGCCAGTACAACAATTGGACATATCAGGGATTGAACTCATAGCAAGGACAAGAGCAGAGAGCATACCCTTCTCACATGAATGCCAATACAGTTGTAGACCATACAATATGACTTCAGGTTCCTATTTTCGTGAAGGTGCAGTACTTCAGTTTTGACTTTTAAAAGCTGTCTAAAATGACTTACCTGTACTGGAAACTGAGTTGGTTGCATGTCTGCATCTTCCCCTGCGTATGCTAAGATAGTTCGTAAAGACTTTCTGAGATATTCTTCATTAAAATCTGATGCTTTACCAACCAGAGAAGCCAATGACATTATCACTTGCATTTTCACTCTTGCAAAATTCTTTAGGAAAACAGAAGAGAACACCAAAGATTATGTAAACCAGATGTACTGATTTTCTATTAGCACTTGCCTGTTGGTTTTTTGTTTTCAAAAGGTTTTCATCTCCTCTATCTTTTCAGATGGCTTAATTAGAATTTATTCTCAGTTTGAGAACTGAAACAGTAATGCTGCAATCCAATGCATGCTTAACTGAGAGCAAGTTTCACTGAAATCAGTGGGTCTTCCTTCCAAATAAACATAGGCTGAAGCTGGCATTATAAAAGTCACTCATTGTTCCTTTTATGCAAGAAGATAGCTCCTTCAGTTTCATGGGGCTGGGAAGTCTCATTAAAACTATATTGAACTTCCTGAAGGAAGGACAAAATATATCAGTTGTAAGAACATGTGAACAAGAAGTTATGTTACATTTAAATGTAACACCATCTCAAATTAAAGACTATGCTATTTGCCTCTCCTTATTTTTCATACAAATGATTATGTGCCACCAAGTCAATTTTGATTTACGGCATCCCTAGTAGGACTTCCATGGTATCTGAGATATTTAAGGAGAGGGTTTTACCATTGCCATGCCCCAGAGAATTTCTATGGTCCAGCTGAGATTGAACCTAGATTTCCTGAGTCTTTGTTTCTATCATTCCATCCACTACACTACACTGGCTCTCCCATTATACATCTCAAATTAAATAACTCTTCACAGTTTGAAAGGTGCTATATAGTTGTATATTCAGGGATTAAGACTATATATACCTTCAGGGCAAATCTCACCAGTAATGTATCATTATCATATACCTCATCCCTGCAGCCCTCCAATGCATTGCAAAAAAGCACAGCTTGGAAAACAATGTTAAAGAAGAATAATTATAATAACATGCTGAAGCCAACCTCAACTAAACAATACCAGGGCAATACTCAATGACTGATTGTATCTTCCTATTATTGTTTCATTACAGAGGGCTTCTGTAGGTCATTACACTTGTTCTCCTTAGAACTAAGTTTCCAAACTGTGCAAAAGAGTATGGGAGGCAATTCTGCAAACAGGAAATGATTACATCAGAAATAGATCACGGTAAACTAAAAAGACAAATGTAGTTCTGCAAGGAATAAGGTTATGTGCAGACACAGGCTAGTATGGTTCAGTCTGTGAGTGACACCAATCAGTATTATTTACAGCCTTACACTGGTGGAACTGAAGCTGTATCTCATAAGGAGGTAAAGGGTGGCACAGGCTTGAATCCGAGTGGTATCAATGCTGCTACTGCAGTGCTGCAAAACTCTCTGACAGAGGTCGGCACACTGCTCCACTTCCTCTTCAAACAGAAGATCTCCACACTAAAAAGAGGGAGGAGAAAGGAAAAGAAACCTGTAACATGGGGTGCTTTCAGATGGTTGGCTCTTAGCATGGCTCATCAAAATATATTGTGAGACTGTTCTGTCCCTAGTCATCCACCCAAGTATTTTCTGAGTCAAAAAAGAAGGTAGAAGAGGTAATAAAATGTTGTTGGGTTGCAGGGTTCCAAGCAGAAGACAATATGTTCTGTGTTACCACATAAAATTCTGTAAATGAGGCAGATGACTAGACAATAAAAGTCTTTTCCGGAAACACCCCTGGTTTCAAAGGTAAGCGCTCTGTGTTGTTTTGATAAGACCAGTTAATGGCAGAAAATGTGCCTTTCTTCTGCATTATAAAGTATTCTGCCGCATTCTTACCAACACATCCCTCACTCTCTTCTACTCTCCTTTCACATACTCCCCTTTTTATCTCAGTACTTCTCCTTCCAGATTCTGCTTTGACCTAGAATATGCAAGAGTTCCTGGTATTATTTACAGCAAGATTACAATCAGATTCTGAGAATCTGTACTAAAAAAATAAATGTGAATGTTCTGTGTAATAAGCGCACAACAACCTGTATTACCCTCATCATATCAGAGTCTTGTTTGCCTCTTGCCACCTAATACTGGCAGAATTTTTGGATTCCCTCTAAAGCAAAATGAAGAGCTTGTACTTATGGTCTACCATTCATAATTTACAATAGGAGCTTAACAAAAGTACTAGAATCAAGACATTTTACATGGAAGACAGATTTACATAACAGTACTTATTGCTTCAGGAGGTCATTTTAATTTGAGGAGAGATTTTACACACAGTATGAAATAAGACCTTAATCATGAATTTCACAACTCATCATGGAACATGTCAATTAAGTTACATTTCATGACATTATCTGCCATCCTGGCATGGGGATTCTTAACCATTCTGCCTCAGGACCAAATTGCCAGAAGTCTCAAAAGTATGTTTTCTGCTCACTGCTGCCACCTCACTATATTTTATTTTATGGGGGAATCTTCAAAAATTACTTACAAGTCAGTAGAATAACCAAGGTCTGAAGATAAGGACTACATCTCTGCATTTACCTTCGCAGACCAGGCTTGCAAGTTTTATAAAGTTTATTAAAAGAATACATATAAAGGAAAATAAAATAACCAAAAGGAGTATTGCCAGTAAGAGAAACCAGTTCCAGAATCATAAAAAGATGGATACAGATTGGGACATGAGAAAGAAAACCCTAAAACTTATACATCACCCTATTTCAGAGAAATAGGTTTCATCCTTGTCTGAACAATCCGGACTCCCCACACACACACACACACACTTTTGCTCATCCACAGAGAGGGATCAGCAAAGAGAGAGAGAGACATTCCTCTTCTGTCTCCTATACAGAATGGGCCATCTGGTTATGACTTGTAATCCCCGTTTTGAACCCAGTGGAGAGCAGAGAGAACAAAGGTAGCAAGAGGCAGAGTCCTTCTCAGAAATGCCCTAGGAGTAAGCAGGCTGTCAGGACAGGAACTTTACAAAAGGCAAACCTATTGACTTCAAAGACTCTTTCAAACTGCAGATCAAATAGGACAGGATAAGAAACAGGCTGGCTCAGGAAACCTTATCAAGTCCCATAAAATCTTCTTTGATTAGAATATCCCATTCCTTCACACCTGGATTATAAAACACATGTATTATGCATTACATGAGAAGCGTCCTGCTGGATCAGGCCAAAAGGCTTCTTTTGTCAGCACCATGTTCCCTGTACTGCCCAAATGGATGTCGTTGGCAATTCCTAAAGCATGACTTGAGAGCAAGAGCCCCCTCATGGGTAACAGTGCAGTATTTTGTGGGCATAACAAGGAACTTCAAAACAAGGGGAAGGCAAACACTTACTCTGACAATTAATGCCCGGATAGTAGCAAAGCAATGAGTTAGATAGGTTGTGCTCTGATCACAACTCAGAGAATTTACAAGGACTTTCAGCACACCTCCCAAGAGATTGTCCTTGCAGTCCATTGCTGAAGTTGCCTAGGACAGAGACAAGAAGAGACCTTTAGGATCTTTCAAGATGGTTTTAGACAACAAAGCTTATGTTACGATGGGGCACTTCCGGCCTGTGGACCACATTCGTCATGCCTGACTGGTCCAAGTGGACCTTTGTTGCAGCAGCATTCCTTCCTTGAAGCCTGAAATTCAGTCCAGTCATCCTGTTAGGCAGAGTGAGGCAACCATCTCAGACAGGAGATTTGAGGGGAGGCAGATTCACTGCTGTTCTTCTTGAAAACCCTTGCTATCCTCCACCCTAAAGAAATGGGTTTTGTGGGTTACACACCCTGTCTTGGGCCTCCTAAACCAGTCTGCTGCCTCAGGCAACAAAATGTATTTGGGTGACTTTGCCTGTATCTTTATACTAACTTCTGCAACTCTAGAGGGACTATGCAGGATTACTGATGGTGTCAGCAATCATATTTCTTTCTTAAGTTCTGCATACCAGCCTGTGCCTTACTTCGAGAAATATTACCCTTATATTTGTTTGTTTCTGCTTTTACTGAGGAGAGAAAAATATGGAAATTCATGAGGAAGTTAAACTAAAACAGTTTTCAAAGTGGCTTCTAGCAAGTACAGAGAACTGCATTTTGTGTAATTTCTGGATGTTATCTTAGACATTCCTAGGCATCTCACATCATTGCAATCTAAAAAGTTCAGGAATGAACACGCTCAACCATATCATAGATAGAGCAACCATGTCTGTTAGAATGGTATCCAGTGACGGCTCATGACCAGGGTGGGGGCATGACCCCACCTCTTAGTCTACAAATTGTCCAAGGTGATAGTACTACACAACAAGGAAAAAATTTATATGTTAATATTAGAAGAAAAATTGTAGACAATTTCTAAAAGTGTAGACCTATAACATTCTAAACACTGTGTAATATCATAAAAAGAGAAGAAAAGCAAATCAATTGTTTCCCCTCCCTTTCCCTGGGTGGAGGAGTTGGCATGGATCAAGTTATACAGCTTCTCACCTGGATGATGTTCTCTTGCATATCCAGAATAATCAGATTCGCTTCAGTAGCTAAGTTCCCACTAACCAGAGCTTCTTGGTCAATCTCAGCCTTTGTTCTGTAATAAATCATATTACCATGAATCAGTTAATCCTGAACAGCTGAGGCCATCTCCCAACCAAGTATAATTCTGAAGGGAATGGGGCATGGAGCAAGACCAGCTAATAGACGATGACAGTAAATAGTGGACAGAGTCATGTGGGATAACACTAGTCAGAATCCCATCACCTATCCCACTGGTCTAAGTCAAATGGTGTATGACTATAATGAATTGCTTATAGTTAAGAATTCAATGCCAAGTAATGCAACTGGTGTAAGATACAAAATACAACCCTCAACTTTATAATTAGCAATAATTCAGCTGCAGAAACTAAAAGAGATAACTGGATAAAATTCATGGAAGCAAACATTTCAGTAAAGCAAATAGCCCATCAATTCATCATTAATGGCAGATCTGGCCATAGGAAACTAGCACTTAAACAGGCACTGAAGGGCAAATCCCTTATGGGGTTCATCCAGTTTAAGGGAATTGGAAAAAGCTATTTGCACCTGCAAAAATGCCAAGGCAGGAAGTCTGCATGACATTTACATAAAACAGATAAAACATTTTGACATAGTAACAAAAAAGTGCCTCCTTAATTTCTTCAACAATTGTCTTGACTATCTCAGAATTACAAAAATGTAGAGAAAGCACTACAGATTGATATTCTAAAATGTGCAAAGAACCCACAGACAGTAGACCTGGGGAGAACTGTACAGCACAAATCCTACATTTAATACAACATATCGAGGAAGGCTTTGAAACTAGGAAAATCCCAGAGATAACCTGTTTGTTGACTCATCCGGCTGGCTCAGCTTACCTCTAATCATCAAGTACTACTGCAAAAATTCTACAGTCCAATCAATAATTATAAATCAACAAGACATAACCCTTTTGCAAAATTGCATTTTTCACTACCTTTCAAGGACAATGCAGCTAAGGACTCAAAACAGTGCTGTACCCCCAGGGCAGTGTACTGGCTCCTATTCTGTTTAACATCTACCATAACAACCAACCACTTCTTCAAGGCACCTGAAGCACAGGTGGTGTTAACGAGGGGGCTGGACGGTCCATTCACTCATCCACCATGGATGCGGACAGCGAGATTGTACGAATGGCTCTGCAGGGCATGATCTGCTCGCTACTCCTGGCAGGGGGTGGGAGGATAAGCCTCACTGCTAGGTCTAAAAGTGGCGAGTGGATTGTGCGCTGTGGTTCCATTCATAGAATCGCACCGTCCACATCCATGGCGGATCAGTGAGTGGACCGTCGTTAACACCACATGTGTGGGGCTTTTTGTATTCGAATACCTCCATCTCTAATGCTGACATGTAAGAAACACTGCCAAAATTGCAATATTTCATTGAAACATTGCAAAAGGTTTCCGCAAGGAACAATATTCTACTAAAGCTATTAGGAACCATTTGGGGCACACAACCACAAAGACAAAAAACTACAACCTTGGGCTCTATGTTATTCTGCACCCTGGTGTGGTCTAGCTTAGCCCATGCAAAATTCAATGAAAGCTGTAAAATCATTACTGGATGCCTGAAGCTAACTTCTATTGATAGAATCGGTTACTTAGCAGGCATTGCATCCAGCAACATACAAAGAGAGGTAGTAATTAATAGTGAAGGGCTTAAAACATCTAAATCAAATGTGCATGCACTCTGGGCACCATCCCACCCCTCACAAATTAAAACCAATGGAATGATTTTTCACAACATCTGTGAGTTTTGAACAGCACAGAATGTCTGAACTTACAATCTAGAAAGAAAGAACTACCTACCTCTTAAAATAGATGGAACCCCAGGAAAACTGGGTTACTTGGAGGAAGTCACATAATGGGTTAGAGAGTTAGCAGAACCACAGTTAACTTAAGAAAATTGGATTTTCACACCAACACAGTCCTTTGCGAGTGTAGAAAAGAACAGGCACCTTCATTTCTGTGACAGTGTATTCTATCCCCCTCAATGTGCACTAGAAAGATTTGATGTCACCTACCCTAAATGCTGTTGATGTTGCCCATTACTGGGCAAAAAGCACTTGCTATATTTATTGCTTTTTATCTATAGTGCTTCTATCACAAAGAAAGAAAGATTTAACACCAGCATACTTATGTAACAGGATTCTGGCCTTTACCTCGAACTGTCTGAGCCCAAATCATTTAGGAGTTTCTATATTATCATTTACATCGTGCCCATAAATGAAATGAAAGCCGGTGCACCTGAGCTACAGTCCACATGATAAAGGTTATGCCCAACCGAGCGCATGTAGCTCTGTACACAACTGCCACATAAACCAATATTTGAAGGAGACAGATGGTTTGAGTTTTACACTAATTAGCATAAAGTTTATTGCCCCCAGAGATTGCCCATCCATGATGTAAACCATGGCTTGGCACACAATATCTTAATTGTGCCAATTGTGCCAAGTCCATATGTAAACGGGGTGGGGTGGGGACAGCAAAAAAGAAGAAAATGATGGTAGTGCCATTTCTATGGGGGCAGGAGCTAATTTTGGTCACAGAAAACCCATGCATTAGAAAAACATCACAATGACTGAATGCCACTAAACAGCTTCACTAAAGACCACTCTGTACCAAGAGATATCCAACTGTACTGAGCCCTTACATGAATGCATTGACAACTGTGCTTGTAACAGCTTCGAAGTCTCTCAAAGGGAGACACTGTTCAAGATGAGAGAATTCTGTCATGTGCTGGATCTCTTCGCCCCAGTGTTATATACAGGTCAGTTTTACATACAGACCATTCAGTGTTAAGCAAATTTCATCATACAGAGAAAGAACCGGTTTCTCCTTTTTGTCTCTCCAGGAATGCCTACAAAACACAAGCTGCCATTCATGCCTCCTCACAGACGCTCTCGAGTCGACGGGAGGGGGCGAGAAACTTCTCCATATGTTTTTAGACTGCAGTTCCCATAAGCCCTCAGCCCTGCTGGCCAAGCCAAAAAAACTAGGCAGCCATCAGCTTGCCCACTACCCTAGAGGGGACCAAAGAACTATGCCTCAGCTGCCATGTGTTGTGTAATCATTCTTTTGAAAATCATTGAGCTATCACTGCAAAAACTATACAAGCCCATGGGATTGAAGGAGTCTTCTTGACAACAGTTTATCAGATGAGAGTGCAGAAGACTGGGAGAAGACTAAGAATTTACCTTCAGATAGTTGGCTGCAAATATATATATTCCTACAACTTTCTGTCAAATGACCCATGTAATATAGAAATGGCAAAATTAATAGGAAGCACTGCTAAATCTCTCTCTTAGAATGTATTAATATCTATTCTAGATATTGCTTTTCTCATATATCAATTCACTTGATGTGTGAAGGAAATCTACACTGTTACTTGGTACTTTTGGAAAGAATGAGGAGTAACAGTGTTACTTTTTATCAGGTATGGCGCAACCTGCTGTAGTATTACCTTCTTAATGCAACAAGAAATGCTATCAGCAGGTTATAATTACCATTAGGGCTAACCTCTATCATGTAGGAGGTTCTTTCATCATCGCATTCCTCACTGCATTATCACTTCTTGAGCATTAGTCTGACTGAGTTAATGCCCGCTAATTGACTTCAGCTGATCTAGGAAACTGGATGCTGGGAATAAACTAAAATTCTGTTGAGGAGTATAATCTGAGGAGGGGTGGGGAGAACAGAACATGTAATTTTCCATGGATTAGCCTAATTCATGGAAACATCCCAGGTGCTTCATAGTCATAGATGGAGTTTTATTTTTAGTTGCAGTTGCTGGAAGTTCCCAAACGAGGCGAATATTTGTTCTTCACCTGAGATAGCAGTCTTAAGTCTCATCAAAGAGGAGCAAATTATTAGTTTTTTAAGTTGTTAGTACAGTATTCATTTCTTATTTTTACAACTAAAGATGGAAGTGGTGCTTCAGGATTTTGTATGCTGGATAAAAATAAATTTTCAGTCTTGGATGGTCTGCACTCTAAATGGGGTATGCAGAATTGGTCTCACTTGCTCCGTCTCAGAATGTCTTGGGCCAATTTAGACAGCAAGTGTTCAGAACTCATATTGTTTTTCTGGTTAAGGACTAACAACAACAAAAGATCTAGACAGTCTTACAAAAAGAAAAAACACACACAGATCAACTACATGCAAGATGGTAAGTTAGAAGCAACATATATATTTCAAAATAAAAAATATGTGAGGGAGAAAGGGGAAACCTGGCCTCATTCCTGCTATTCTGCTCAAGGTATTTCCTTTACATTTCCTTTTATGTTTTTATGTACTTTCAAGGTAAAGTATTGGAACTGGTCAGTGGGAGGAAACAAAGAGCATTTCTTTGCATTGTTTATGTGTCTAATAACAACAACATTTTGACAGTATGACCAATGCAACACATTACTTATAAGGATAAATAACTGCTCATAATAATGAACTCCTGCTGTCAGCAATGTAACAAGCAGTACAACAAATTAGTTTTTGAAGTTAACATTTTAAATTCTAAGTTCACTTGCAGTAATTTCTTTTTCAAAATTGTGTCCTACTTAGCATTAAGGATGAAGCAAAGATCAGAAGAAGGGAAAAAAACAAGGACACAATTAACCAATAACATTCAGATTTGTGAGTGCTGTAAATTGTAATATTGAGTCACATTAGTAGGCACATCCTGGACATGAACCTCTAGTAGGCACATACTGGAAAATCCACAGATCAGTGTAACTTTTACTACATTTATGAACATATATATCTCCCTTAAGCAATTATGTTTATTGATGCAATCATTGATACGGGGACAGCAAACATGTTTACTGCAGGAGTATAAATTGATCTTAGAAACAAGAGGATAATAATACAACCACCACAATTACCAGAACAAAATGGTAAGAAAAAAGATTGTCAATCATATTTTAGCAGCTGGGGAGGGATGATTCTTACTGTGAGTGTCTCATTCAAAACATTTACATATATTTCAAGCTTGCTTTTCTTAAGTACTGAGAACTCTGCTGCTAGTGGGAGGAGAACAAAGAAGAAAGGAACTTCAGACTTATAGTTACAGAGATTTCTATAAAACCTACTCATGCATCCGTCTGGGATGTTTTAACGACAGAGTTTCCTGCCTTGGTACAGGGAGTGAAACTACGTAGATGGCCCCAAGAGAGAAGCATTTCTGGTAAAGGTGATATAAATTCATTAAATTACTTACTTATCTAGCTTCTCATTTGCCTGCCGCCACTGTGTCTGCTCTTTCCTCCACCGGAGATTCTCATTCAACCCTGGGAACCTATCATTCCCTACAAAAAGGCAACATACGTAAGTCACAATGAAACTTTAATATCAACATTTCTCAAGAGATATGCATTTCTGAAAGACTCTACATCAATGGTGATGGCAGTGAGGAAAAGTGTATCTTTTTACACAGAGTGGAAAGAAGATGCGATAGGGAAACACTGAAATGTGACAGATGGGAACAATGTGTCCTCAAAAACAACAACAATACAGAAATGATGAGAGTGCGAGGGAGTGGAGCCCATCTGGAACCAAACGTTAGGCTGGATCAAAGTCTAGACATGAGTGAGGTGTAGTGTAGGATCTGTTCACACATTGCTCTCTCAGTGAGAGACCATTTAGAAGTCATGCCAGGAAATTCTTCTCTCTTTTTTTGGTTTTTTGTTTGTTTGTTTGTTTGTTTGGCAAACAGAAGGATTGTGTCTAACAATTTAATAAGTGAAAAATCGCCTCTGGATCACCACTGCTAGAACTGGGACTCCTGGTGATGATCTGGCATTGATTTTTGACTATTAAAGGATCCCCTGTCCCAAATCTCTCAAAGGCTTCTTCAGGGCAAAAGGGACTCCTAGAGAGCTTTGGAATCTGAAAGAGGCGGATAGGAAGATTTCAATTCATTTAAATTAAATATTACCAGTGCTGGATGATGTCATCCCTCTCCACAGCATAGCTTTATCCCAAAAAGATTTTGCCCGGTGAATCAGCTGATAAATGGTTGGTCAACATTGATTTAAATTTTGTTGATCCAATAGGCCTCTAGTAACTAGTTTACGCCTACAGCTCTTTTCAGAAAAAACTACATCATGAAAAGTATTATTATCAGTAATAATTCTGCTATTACTATTACTGTATTCCACACAACCTACGGGCTAAAAGCTATACAATTAGTAATGTTATCCTGTTTCCCCAAAAATAAGACAGGGTCTTATATTAATTTTTGCTACAAAAAACACATTAGGGGTTATCTTCAGGGGATGTTTTATTTCTATTTTTTTTCATGTACAACAATCTACATTTATTCAAATACAGTCATGTCATCTTCTGGTTGCTGCACAATGGTGGAGGGTGGGGTTTCACTTAACTAAGTCTTATTTTGGGGGTAGGGCTTATATTACGAGCATCCTGAAAAAATCATACTAGGGCTTATTTTCAGATTAGGTCTTATTTTTGGGGAAACTGTTATTAGTAATGACTAGGGGGAGGATTTCTACAACATGTTATTTTTTTCTACAACCTATGTTTGAGCTTATGGGTGGGTTTGAACATGTTTATGAATAATCTGGTGAAGAAAGGCCTGATTACCCATAAACATACAGTATTTGAATTTGCTTATGAATTCAAATGTAGGTTGCAGAGAAAATGTGAGATGTCATAGAAATCCTCTCCCTGGTAATGATAGCTGCCCATAGGTATCTCCAGCTTTATTCCTAGCAAAAATTGACAACAATCCATGGAAACTCTCCAGTTCCTTTGGACACCACACCTGGAAGAATCTAAAATCTAGAAATGTTTTCTAACATTTCTTGCTCTCAATACTACTTAATCACTTTTGAAAACAGTTTCTTCATTTTTGTGCATTGATAAAAATGAGATTAAAAGCAAAAAAAAAAAGCATACCAGCAGGCATTCTGCAGCGCTTCATCATTTCACCCCTGGCCCCCTCGCCTCTTAGCAATGCCTCCTCTAGCCGAGCTTTTACATCCCTTGACTTCTGGAGTGCTTGAGTACTAACTTTATCTGAGCTTTGTTTCCCCTGTAAAGACATTGAATTAAATTCAGTAACCAGAACAATTAAAATTCAATTGCATGCATGTAAATTATTCTACTTTTAAAAGGTGCAGTAATAATAAGATAAAAATCAGTTGTTCTCAATCCCTTCAGATATTTGTATGAAAATATAGGTAAAGAGCACTTGAAAAATTAAATTTATGCTCTGTATTCCCATGCAACAAATTTTATACAATCTTCTGCAAGAAAAATAATGAGCAACAGGCACGGTTTCAATATAATTCTGTTTACCTTATACTCAAAAGCTGAGACACAGATGAAAAGGAGATCCAAAATCCTGGTCAGCTGCATAGAAGGCAGATCTGCAATCCACCTCTGAATGAGATTCTGATCAGCATTTTTCATGATCCATAAGAAGCATATCAAAAGATGACGTGTTGTTTCAGGGCTTAACGTGTTATATTGTTTGTAAGGCTAGAAAAAGTTAAACCAAGATGTTCATAAGGATGCAAAGTATCAAGCAGCCGCATATATTAACCTCAATAAATAAGCAGGCTGCTTAACTACAACATTTGTTTTTTATGTGGCCATCTGTGCATTGACCCATAAGAGTCTGCATCTGTGCAGAACCACCATTTGAATGAAGAAAATTTTGGTGTTATCCTCTCCTTTCCTGTCAATGGTGTGTGCTTGAAGTCTGTCCTACAGATCAATTAATTTCTGAAAATACTGGTGAGAAATTCAATCAACCAATTGTTTATTTATGGTGAAAGACCAGCAATATTACAATTAAAATATAATTTCCATAACCTTGAAAAACTGGTGATCCATTATAAAACACTAACTTCCATGTTAACATCTTTGAAGATATCTAATAGCATAGTAAACAATCACAGATAAATCATGGACCAAAAGCCATTATTGCCTCATTGAAGGTTCATTATCATAACGTTAGGCCAGGGCAACCAGTAGCCTCACAAGGATAGGAGGCAACAATATATTACAGCAGCACAATATTTGGCCACTTTGAGAGTAATATCTGGGACTTTTGTCTGAAAGCAGCAAAGTTATATAGAAATTTGTATTTCTCCCAGGAAGTTTCTGTAGAATGGACAGTAGTAAAGACCTTCACAGATCTTGATAAAATGAGCAGTGTAACAAAACATATCCCACAGATTCGATCTTTACACCATTGCAGGGACATAAACGTTCAGTGTAGGGGATACCTTGAAATCTTCCTTCTTAAAGTTTAGAGGGCAGGAGATTGAATCTTGCTAAAGCAAAGGCTCTTCTAAACTTAGGGAGTGTTAAATTGGACAGATAGACAGGAGGTTTAAAATTATCATTTCGTACTGCACTGAGTTTGTCCGGCAAGCCTAAGTATATTGTAGTTCTGTATCCTGTATCCTTTGTTTTATGACCGCTTTAGCACTTGCGTAACCCATTGCTCCGAGAATAATATCTAATAATAGTCTAATAATATCAATGGTGCCAAACCTACCGGGCAAAAAATGTAACTTTAACAAATAATTGAGCGTCTGAATCTTAGCCCGTGTTCTAATAGAAACTAACCCTGCCTCCAACATCAGTGTTCTGTTGGCAGTGCATGTTGTTGTTGTTTTTTGTTTAGTCATTAAGTCATGTCCAACTCTTCATGACCCCATGGACCAGAACACGCCAGGCCCTCCTGTCTTCCACTACCTCCCGGAGTTGGGTCAAATTCATGTTAGTAGCTTCAGAGACACTATCCAACCATCTCGTCCTCTGTTGTCCCCTTTTCCACTTTCCTTCACACTTTCCCAACATCAGGGTCTTTTCCAGGGAGTCTTCTCTTCTCATGAGATGGCCAAAGTGTTGGAGAGAGCTTCCAGGGAGCACTCAGGGTTGATTTCCTTCAGAATGGATAAGTTTGATCTCCTTGCAGTCCAGGGGACTCTCAAGAGCCTCCTCTAGCACCACAATTCAAAAGCATCAATTCTTCAGCAGTCAGTTTTCTTTATGGTCCAGCTCTCACTTCCATGCATCACTACAGGAAAAACCATAGCTTGGACTATGCGGACTTTTGTTGGCAAGGTGATGTCTCTGCTTTTTAAGATGCTGTCTAGGTTTCTCATTGCTTTCCTCCCAAGAAACTGGGATATTTTAATTTCGTGGCTGCTGTCCCCATCTCACTGCTGTCCTCAGTGATCATGGAGCCCAAGAAAGTAAAATCTGTCTCTACCTCCATATCTTTCCCTTCTATTTGCCAGGAGGTTATGGGACCAGTGGCCATGATTTTATTTTTTTTGATATTGAGCTTCATACCATTTTTTGCGCTCTCCTCTTTCACCCTCATTAAGAGGTTCTTTAATTCCGCCTCACTTTCTGCCATCAGAGTGGTATCATCTGCATATCAGAGGCTGTTGGTATTTCTTCCAGCAATCTTAATTCTGGCTTTGGATTCATCCAGTCCTGCCTTTCGCATGATGTATTCTGCATATAAGTTAAATAAGCAGGGAGACAATATACAGCCTTGTCGTACTCCTTTCCCAATTTTGAACCAATCAGTTGTTCCATATCCAGTTCTAACTGTTGCTTCCTGTCCCACATATAGATTTCTCAGGAGATAGATAAGGTGGTCAGGCACTCCCATTTTTTAAGAACTTGCCATCATTTGTTGTGATCCACACAGTCAAAGGCTTTTGCGTAGTCAATGAAGCAGAAGTAGATGTTTTTCTGGAACTCTCTGGCTTTCTCCATAATCCAGCGCATGTTAGCAATTTGGTCTTTAGTTCCTCTGCCCCTTCGAAATCCAGTTTGTACTTCTGGGAGTTCTCGGTCCACATACTGCTGAAGCCTACCTTATAGAATTTTGAGCATAACCTTGCTAGCATGTGAAATTGTACGGTAGTTAGAGCATCCTTTTGCACTGCCCTTCTTTGGGATTGGGATGTAGATTTGACAAGTTCCCTCAGGCACTGCATGAGGGAACTGCAAAAAACAGCCAGCCATCAAGAATTTTGTCTGTACAAGCTCGAGGTGATGCATGTTGGAGTGTGTAAATATTTGGGAGCCATAGCGCATTTGGACTACTGGTGAGAAATTATGTACTGATTAAAAATGATCAACTTCACTTGTCAGAAGGTTGTTATCTCTTGTTCTCTGCAACACTGCTCTTCAAATTGGTCCAGATCACACAACTATTAATTATCCACATCAAACAACTGTTGATGCTGTCAGCCATCTAACTTTAACAATTCTTGTCAACAATCCACATCATATAAGGAATCTCCTTCCAGTGACCAGAAATCTAAGAAGTCTGCTTATAAAAGTAAGTCTTCGGGCACAAAACACCATTTTTTATTTGCCTCCACTTATCAATACTTGGGACAAAGCTATAGACAGAAGCCAATAATGTTGATATAAAGTCACAGCATTCATCAGGGACTTTGCAGCATATTCTGACCATGATAATTTGCTCCCAAGAGGCACTGCCTGCTTTTCTATCACCAGGTAAGGATTCCATCACATTTGCTACCTTATTCTGAACAAAAATTTGAAATCTGCCCAGATAAGCCCATTGACTGACAATTACAAAGCCTAAAAAAGCCCTGGAATATGAATTTCTCTTCATCAGACGTAAACATCTTGCTCCTTCTTCAGGTGGAGCAGATAACAACTTCTTCCCTGTAGAGGCAGCCATGGTGAGGGAGTTCAGCACCAAATTTTTTTTTTAACAAATAGTTCCAGGAGTCATCCTGAACTGTATATAGGCTCTGCATTTAATGAGATATTGCTGGAATGAAGAGGACAATTGATTGGAGTGAAGAGGAAGTGCACAGGTGTATGGGCCTCCAAAAACATGGGACTGTCTTCAGTTGAGGAGGGGGGTCTTCATGCCCATATAGAATCAGTAAACATTTTGCCGTACACACTGAAAGGTCAGTGTGAGATAGTGGTTGCAGAATCTGATCAATGTTAGGATGCGTGGAAGATGACTCCATGTGAGTTGATGACTCCAAGTGAGTTGATGATGGATTACTCCATGTGAGTAATCTAGACCTATGTCAGTTTTTTCATAACTTAAATGCCTTTATCAAGGTTAATTAGAGTTATGTCACCACCATCATTACGTCTTAACATCTAAGCTGCAGCTAGAGTAACCTTATTTCAATCAATGGAACTTACAGGAGTTGGCTCACCAAACCCCCATGGATTCAATGGGCCTACTTTAGTGCAATTTGCTATGCTAAGCAACAGGATTTCAGGCACTGTGCTCTTCTCCAAGGCAAAAGAGATGCTGGGAAAAATAAATTTTTGGACTAGTAAAGTCCCCAGTCAGCAGGGGGACTCATCCTGCCAACTAGGGTATTATCTGAATTGTAAACCTAAAAAGTAACTCTTCCAAGTTCCATTTTCTGCTGTTTGAAATGCTCTTTTCAACTGACTAGTATGATATACCCATTTAGATTTCAGAGCTGAAAAGATGTTAATTTCAGCTTGTAGGCTACAACCTTTTCTGCTAGTGGAAACGTTTACTTAAGATGCTATTTAAGAGGGCTCCAGTTCTCTGCCTGAAATTGAGCTTATCTCAGCTGTAAAATCTCTGTCAGATAAAGACTTGTAACAGATTTGCTGACTGATTTCAGACAGCTCTATTTCCAAACAGAGATGGATGAATCTGTTGATCTTGTTTCTCGTAGCTTCTCATGTTTATATTCTTCAGGTCATTCCATCAGCTTTCTGTTTCGATTTACAACTTTAAAAAAGAGTCACCCCAAACATGTTGATGTATTTGGTGTATTATATGCAGTGCTGTATTTAATTTTGCCCAGTGATGTGCTTCCATTTCCAGTTCTTGATGCTTTTAAAATATACTATTCCATAAAGCATCTGGCATATATGAATTTCTAATATACTGTATGCATTTTAGTGCATCCTTTTCCTAACCTACATATTTTTCTTCAGTATTTTTATTTGGAAAAACTGCATTGGAAAATTTTAAATTAGTTAATGTGTTAAAAGAACTACACTGCGGTTTGCCCATTGATTGAAGAGTGCAAATTTGGCCAGTTCTTATAGAACTGCAAACCACATGAAATTCTCTCCCATTCCTATTTTTAACTGAGAGGCTAAAGCCATACTAGCCAGATTCAGAAGCACCTTTTGTTGACAAGGAGATCACAAGCCAGCTATTCAAGATTGAGTCACTCCAGTTCCAGTATCTAAATGACTGCTACAGATACATTAGCTCAATATCCCACACTTCTGTTTCAAGCATCTTCGTTCTCAACCATTAGTCCTCCTTATGGATAATTCTGCTGCTGTTTTCAGGTATGATGAAAACACTTGCAGGAAACAAGCACAGCAGTCTCCCCTATCCTGGTGCCTTCCAAATGCGTTGAATTACACCTGCCGTAATGCTGACTGTTGTCAATGCTGACTAAGGCTTGTGAGAACTGTGACCCAAAACACCTAGAGGACACCATGGTGGGGGGAGGGCTGTTTTAGAAGAAGGATAAGAAGGAAGAGTTGCTTATTTCTTCTCTTGGGGGAAAGAAGTGCCTAGCGTGCAGAAAGATGTACCGTATTTGCCGGCGTACAAGATGACTTTTTGGCCCTGAAAAACATGCCTCCAATTGGGGGGGATCGTCTTGTATGCCGGGTGCATGTCCAGCAAACCCTCCTTCTCTCCCAGTGAAGTCACTTACCTGGTAGTAAGACTGAGACCACCAGCTCCTAGCCTGGGAACAGCCTGACTCTAGCGCCGAACAGCTGACTGTGGGGAACAGCAGAGAGGCGGCAGCCATACATGGCTGCTGCCTCTCAAAATGGCTGCCACCTCTCTGCTGTTCCTTCTTCCAGCAAACCCTGGCTCTCTCTGAAAAGGAACCAAAAGGGGCAAAAGGAACTCTCCCTATGATGCAGCCAAAGCAGAATCACGCATGCGGATGAGGGGGTAGTCTTATACAGCAAGTATATAACAAACTCTACATTCTGAGTGGGAATGTGGAGGGTGGTCTTATACACCCAGTCGCCTCATACTCCGGCAAATACGGTAGGTTCAAGCTAATGGAAAAAGCACAAAAAATCTTAAAAATTGGCTCCTGGAAATGAGACTTATGAGGTGAGGCAAAGGAGCAGCAGACCAAAAGAAGTGTGTGCAAATCTAGAGGAGAAGCAGACTTACCACTGTGGACATAGATGGGCCTGAGGGCCTTAGGAGATTAAATTGGTTCCCAGCAATCGCCTGTGCAATATTCTGGTTAATTTGGCTAGCAGCCTCCTGTTCTTCATCTGGAGATCCAGCACGGCCTTTTCCATTACGGCCCTCTGAAACTACATAGGAAAGGACAGGTGTTTACCTATGACTGATGTTACATGGTCATCTGTGCAGCCTCACACACAGGGGAATACTTGTGCCTGAGCAATACAGCTTCTAGAGTTAAGACCACAGAACCCTGACAGTTGACTCATTTTGGGGGGTACTGTGAATCTATTCCAGGGTTTAGTCTGCACTCCAAAGGAGCCACCCAATGCCTGAACCTATTAGAGGATCAAGGAACTTGGATAGCTCCTGTAAAGTTTAGATTGAAACCCAGTGTGGATTGGAGTCACCAGCCACCATTGCCATAGAGATACCTTCAGATTTACTGCAAATGACCAAATGAATAGATTTATTCTATTTTATTCTACTTTATTTTATTTCTTAAATGTGTATAGCATCCCATTAGTGCAATGAACTATTCTGGGTGGTTTACAAGAGATCCCTACCTTCCTACTCACTTTAACACCACAATGGTTTTTTGAGCTCAGTGAGAAGTCATGGGAGTCAGCCCAACTAGGCATATGCAGTGGATCTGGAGAGATCATATCCTGCCATCAGAGATCTCTTCAATCTATCCATAGTAGATTCCCAAAATGCACAATGGTGGTGCACATTTCTTCATATGTATGTGTCTGCCAAGAGGCTATGGCCAAAATCCTAGTCATTTTATGCCAGTGAAACACAATGGCATTGGTTTTGCGACAAATTCCTGCAAGGTACATAGTCAGCATGACATTACTTGTTGCACACTGGGTCACATGGCCCAGCTCCCAGGAATAATGCCTACGCCAACATTGTAACCTGCATCAGTTTGTCTCCTGAAGTTATGCCATTTCTGTCATGTTTACAGGTGTAACTAATAGGATTTTCTCCTATGTGACAGAAGACCTTACTACTAAACAAATATTTGTACTTTGAGCCATGTATCATGGATAGAGTTCTCAATGATGTATTCAGAGAGGGCAACTGACAATCACTTGAGTCTAAGCAATATTTATCTTATAAACTAAAACCAGTCAAAATGCAAGTATAATAATGAACAAACATGAATTCTTAAATGACTCAAACAAAAATCAATTGTTTGTGGGCAGCACAATGTCATCTAATTATTGCAAGCTGAACAGAAGCTCCTGTCACCTTCCCTTTTCATTCATCTTGCTTTGTGTCTTGCTGTACTTCCAGTTGGCCTGTCCACCTGCTTCATTCGCTTTCATTTCTCCCTCCCATTTTCCTCTGGCATCTTCTCTTCAGTTCCTTATTTCCTCCAGCTGCCACCAGCTGAACATTTCTCCCACTTTGCTCTTTCCTGGAGTCCTCTGCCCTTCTTTTCAGTTTAGTTCCACAATGGCAGAGGAGCAACAATGGCATTACTTAGAAAGCCTTCCCTATAAGTGGCTATCAGAAACCTTTATCAATAGGAAAAGCAAAGGTCTATCTGGGAGTCAGGAGAAGACAGAGGGAATTCAGCTGCAAACAATTATCCAGCAGATGGCCAGGAACACAAGGAGATTACAGTGAAGATACTGATCTCTCCCATTGCATCGAAACTACACAGCTACAGAAGTTTGATACCACTTTAATTGTCATCACTCCATCCTTAGGAATCCTGGGATTTTGAAGTTGGAAAGCTACTTGGAATTCTCTGTATTAGAGCTCTCCGGATGTTAAATTAATATCAAAATGCTCTAATAGTTTAATGCAGCAATGCTCACAATTTTGTTTGCTCTCTTCCTATATTAAAAAAATAGGTACTGTGCTCCTTTGTTGCAGCTCTCACGTTGGGTGGTGGTCATCCTGACACATATCCACTGATGACAAAACTACCTGTTGCCTTAAGACCCCATTTGGTCATTACCTAAGTTGCTCTAAAACACTTAGAGGAGAGTGACCAACCTCTCCCACTATTTCATCCACACAGAGTGTGGTATGTCTGCAGAAGAGAGGTTCCTGTAGGCTTTCCAAGAGCCTACAGGTGTTGTGGCTCTCATGGAGAGACTGCATGGGAGCAGGATCCTCTCCTCTCTAAATGCATTACCTTCGATGTGGAAAAAGCAGAAGGGGAGACTCAAGGGATTGAGTCGGAGAGAACTGGGTAACAACAGAAAAGGGCTTAAACATATCATGCCTCCGAATGTATTTTGCACACTAATTAACAGAAGTTCTATCTTATACCGCATAGTAGCTGGGGACTTTTTCAAAGGTGCACAGCAGGGAAGGAAAGAATTTAACCTTCTTCAACTGCAGTTATAATCCTGACTGGACCCCAATCTTTCTCTTTTGCATTAAAAAGGTTCTCCAGCAAGGTGATCTGACAGGTAAGATGTTATCCCTACCTTCAGCAGCAGAGGTTAACTGGTCACCATCTAAAAGCAGTGGTTTCCAAATGGTGGTTCCCCAGATATTGCTGGAGTCCTTTATCACAGGCCCATGCTGGCTGGAACTTCAGAAAACTGAAGTTCAACCAGATCTAGCCAAACCATGAGTTTTAGCTAAGCTTGATACATGTAATGTCTGCTAGATTTTAAACTGACAGGCTCTTTTATGCAGCACTTACAGTGGACCCTCTACTTAAGGAATTAATCCGTATTGGAATGGTGGCTGCAAGTCGAAAAGTCTGTAAGTCGAATCTCCATTGACCTACAATGCACTGAAAACCGATTAATCCCATAACCAGTGGTATTTATTCTATTTTTATTCCATTTTGGTTTTTTTCTGGTCTGTAAGTCGATTCTCTGGCTGCAAGTCGAATCTAAATTTTGCAGCCAGAGAAGTCTGTAACTCGAAAAGTCTGTAAGTCGAGCCGTCTGTAAGTCGAGGGTCCACTGTATATTATTGTTAGGTGTTTTAATATCATGAATATCATCCTTCATTAGAAATAATAGCTGGAAAAGAGGTCTTGCCTGTAAAATCATGTAATTGTGGAAGCGCGTCCAAAATTATGCCAACCAGAGGTAGGTAAAGGGCAGCAACTTTCACTTTCACTTCTGATTTCGAGCAGGATTTGTCCAAGTCATGTGAAATGAGCAGGCTGTGGACAGCACTGACAGCTTTCCTCTGGACTTTGCCTATTCTGTTACCGCAAACAAACAAACAAACAATGTTTAAGACTACAACATATGTTGACTGTATGGATAGAACAAACTTTAAGAGAGGTGACAATGAGACATTTCCAAGAAGCAGCCGTGTTTATCTATTGCAGGAGAACAACAAAAAGTCATGAGGCACCTTAAAGATTAACCAGCTTTATTTGAGATAAATATACATGGGCTGAAGCCTCATTCTTCAAATTCACCTGAAGAGGTGGGGTACAATCCATGAGAGAATACAACAGATGAAAGATGCTATTCTTCAAATTACTACAAGACTTTTTGGTCAGAATTCTATTATTTTGTCAAACTAGAAGTGAAATCACAGACATCACCAAAGTTTATTGTGGTTAACTGAGGAAGCACCTCATCAATCACATGCCCAGTACCTCATCAATTAACTACTGCAGCTTCTGTAATTCCTACTCTTTGCATGGTAAAAATAGGATTTTGGCCCATGAAGATAATAAAATTAATGTGATGGTATTCTAAGAGAGAGATAACAAAGAATTTGGTTTTAGTAAACCCACTACTGCCAAGAAATGAATCCAAACCATAGAAAGGACTACTGTTGAAATAAAGTAAGGATTGATTAGAACAAGACAAAAAAATCCAGCCACCTATTTATGCTCATTGAAACTTCAGGGCACAGTAAAATAAGGGAAAGAAAATCTGTTGTATGTCCTTTTCTGTGAGTGGTGATAGGATGTGAACTTAGAACCACAATTGTTCTAACCTACCACTCCTAAAGAAGAAGGAGGAGGAGGAGGAGGAGGAAGAGGAGGATCCCGACCATCCACTTTGGTCTTGTTAGCAGATCAGCCCATTCTGTTTATTGCATATTTTACTCAAGCACAGGCTATTAAGGGACAGTTTAGTCTTGGAGTCAGGTGTTGCTGTCAATGATCCTGATACTTTGGAAAATTCAACTTGAGTGATGGAACTATTTCAAGAAGCTTAAGTGAAGCCTAGCACAGTTAATTCCCATTAACTGAACAGTCCTGATCCTATAGCCACATCTCTGGGAAAAAGAAATGGAAACCTACCCTTCTGCTTCCGTGTCCAAGGCAGCTGCCAATTCAGTGAAGAGCAGCCCTGTTAAGAAGTGCTGCTGCCGATAATCTGCCGTAAGGTCAAACATGCTGGCAAGTTTTTGATCCTGAAAACTTGAGCAGGAGCTCGAATTCTGCCAAAAATCAATAAATCAATAAGGGGGACAAGGTTATTCTTTACACTCAGATCAAATAAACAGAGTTGGCTTCTCTGTGATTAGGCAGTTGTTTATTCTTTAAATACCTAATGTAATTGGTGAAAATACTACACTTTTACATGGTCCTTAAATGTTTTTCTAAAACAACCACAAAATACAGCTTCCTGCAATAATGTGAATAACTCTGCAAGCCCTTTTATCTTTTGAACTACAAGTCCCAGAATCCCCTAGCAAGAATGGCCTCACCCATGCTCAATGACTATGATGGCTGAAGGGTTCTAGGATCTATGGTACAGAAATTTAAGTAAATAAAATCACTTTTTAATGCCCTGGTTAGCCCCGGTGAGATTCAAATCAAGTGCGATGTAAGTAAATGAGGAAGGAACCCACAGCCATCCACAATGGCTAAGAATGCAAAAAGGAGGAACTACTTTTATTTGGAGTGCAACAATGCTCCAGATAAAAGTAGTTCCTGCTTTTTTGCAGTATTGACCATTGATATCCCAAAATTCCTTTTTTCTTGTTGATTGTTGGCAGCAAGAGCTGGAAACCCGATTTCAGCTTTAACAAACTGCTTAGCATCTGTGTTGGAACACAACTCAGGAGGGTTAGAGCTGAAAAGGTAGCAATTCAGGACATCTGTTTCTGTTAAGGCAGGACAACATCTCCTTTTATATACAAGAGTGATCTGAAAAGTAAAACTTACTGAAGTCGGCACTGCCTTTTGGGTTTTCTTTTTGCATGATAATGCTGCAGCTGGCTACCAACTGAGCAGCTCTACTTCTGCCAACTTTGGCACCTCTGCCAACTTTGGCCTATGTATATAACACAAATAAAAACAAAAAGGGGTATGGCTTTTGTGGATGACAGCTCCCAAAATTCTACAGCCAGCCAATAGATCCTAGTGGCTCAGAGAACTCCAGGAGCTCGAGTCCAAAAAGATAACTTTTCCATGCACTGACTGACTGGAAGCCAGGTGTACACAAATACCCTTGATATGCCTTCTGTTAACAGACATACTGTTATCTGATGGGAAGGACAAAATTCCTCTCCTGTTTCATATACAAAACCCAAAGGAGAATAGCAGTTCGCCCTTACTTCCACACTGGTAACAGGTCGATATTCTCTCCTGTACCTAAGAGCAGCAGGCTAGGTTAGAGATTGTCACTCATCTCTCCAAGTTTCAGCTACATCATTATGCTTAATGATAGGACCAGTTCCATTGAACATGCAGAGTTGAAGGGAGGTATATTTCCACTCTTCCTCTGTGTGTTCCATATAGGTATGGAAAAAATGAGCAGCCTTCCTAGTGTCTGCATAAAATATTAATCAAGAAGAGGTGACACAATATACTGATAACCTATTAACCATTGCATCTATGTAGGCTTGCTCAACCTTTTCCCGTGCATAAGAGAACTAAATTCATTTCTAAAAAGATGAGTAGGGGGACCACCTGTGACGACAGTGAAGGTGAGGGAGATGTTGGAGCAGACTCCGAAGTCAAAAAGAAGAGATTCAAGTTGAGGTAATGTTCATGACTGCAGAGAATTCTCAGAAACTCCAGCCTCATGGAAATCAGGGTAGGAAGAGTGTTCAATTTATTTGACAACTGGAGGGAAAAAAGATTTTGTTTAAGAAGTACAGCATTAGGAATGGATAATTGCATACAAATATCCTACGTCCAAAAACAGAATCACTTTGTTTAATAAAAATAACCTAGAAGCATCATATATTGTAAACTGCTTCCTGTAGTTTTTGTCTCATCTATGTTTCCATCCATTATTGTTCTATGCAAGTAGAAATGCTTTATCACTTGGCTGACTTTTCACAAATACAATGCTTCAGCAAATGCCTCCAGAAAGGAATTCTGCAGTGTTTCTCCTTAGCTTGTCAAATTAAAAATAACTCCAGTAATTGCTGTCTGTTGTAAAACAGATAAACTTGAATACGCTAATTTCCCTTTGTGCTATTGCTTTACACAAGTCAGCTCTACCAAAGTAATGTACCCGTTTCCCATCTTTTTCATTTTTGGATACGGGTGCCTTTAGCTTTCTTACAGTAGATGTTTAAAGGGAAGGATGTACACCAAAGACATGAGTCTAAGTAAAGATAGGAAAGGTTAACTTTTGACAACTGTTAGATGTTTGCTATAGGACTTCAGCAACTGTAGTTCTAAAGAGCATATTTTCCTATCCCTGGGCCTAAGCATTCTTCTCTGATTAAACATGAATGAGAAATCCAGGGCTACAAGTCAGCACAGCTCATTCAAGGCCATGAAAGAACATGTCCCAGCTATTTAGTTGGGATGTCAGTAGTGTACAAAGGAAGTTGATACAGAACTAGAGTTCTGCTGAAATCATTCAATTCAAGGTTTCATTTCCATTTGAATGTCCTTGTCATATCCACCCAGTGTCCTTTGTTTATTTTCCCTAAACACAAGTCCACCCTCTGGATGTGTTTCCTCACTTCACGCTGCCACCAGGTACAGTATTATTCCCTCAGTACCAAATAGATAGATCTTAGACACGTACAGCCAATACAACAGATTTATTGATCTTATAGTTGTTATGCAAATCACAGGAGAAAATCACAGAGGTTTAGGATTATTCATTAAATATCATTTGCTTTCACATTGGTTTGTATGTGTATTTATTCACGGTTACAATATTCTTTGACTGTCCATTCTCTATACTTTTGCACTCTTTCCTATTTTCTCTAGCATTCCAGCTTTCCAATCTCTGTCTTAACTTTCTCAATTCAGTCTCCTAACTCTCTCTCTCTTCAATTCCCTATCTCCAACCTCTTTTCTCCAACTCTCCTCTCTAACTGCCTAACCAACTTTCTAACCCTTCTTTCTGTTCTCTCCCTCCTGTCCTCTCATAGGCTCCTGCCCTTGAGCTTCCTATGATGGACAGGCGTGACGTGGGGGTTCCGCCGCAGTCCTCCTTGATGGCACCCTACTAGATGAGAAGCTGTTTCATATATTCAGGATGACCATTTCACTGCACAGTCCTCAGTGCCTTGTACCACTTCCATAAAGATTCTCTCTCCAGAGTCCCTCCTTGTGAGGGGATGGAGGGCCACACTTCTCAAATGTAAACTGCCACCAGTTCCTCCTTCAGTCTCTCCTTTCACTCTTTATTTCCCTTCTATACAACATGTGAAAAATAAGGGGCACTCCAGTTATAATGAATATGTTTTCATCCCTATAACAGGAACGCCAGATAAACAGCTTATACCCTTTCCTTATTAGCTGGGGAGATTTCTGGGTTGCATGTAGAGCAGAAAGAGGCCACCGGGGCAGGCTGGTTATCTAAGAAGGTACCAAGTTTTATTATATATTAAAGAAAGAAGTGTACAACATATTGTTAAAAACAATTCTATTAAGGATGAAATAGCTGAGACATACTAATTTCTGTGGATCACTTTTGTAGCCCTCCATCTTGTCTTTTCTTCACCAACTGTACTATAAAGGTAAACTCTAATCATGTGAATGAGTGAACTGAAACGAATGCTGCAGTCTACTGCCAGTTTAGTGGGAATTGCCCTCCCTGAACATCATAGAACTTTCTAGCATTGCAGCCCCCGTTTAGTTGACCTTTTTGTTAGTGGGACCTACCTGATTGCAGTAGTGTTTGATAAGGTTGAACACAAATCCACGATCCATTAGAGAAAGAAGATCATAAAGAAAAAATGCCAAGCTAATTTTGATCTTCTCTGCTTGTTCACTTTCCTTTAAAATAAAACAAAAAAAGATTAGTATACAAAATAGCTTTGATTTTACACGTGGATGGGATGTGTACAGGAGATCTCAGGAAGGTACATTTTTTCAAATCAGCTAGCTGCATTATTATTGCTTCAAATGCCTGAGTAATTCTTTCCATTGTGCATCATCAATGTGTCATGTTTATGTTAGCTGCAGGCCAGAAAAAAATACAGGGAAATGTTTAATTAATTCTTCTGGTGGCCAATTCTGATATTGCATCCTGAAATAATTATAAAAATACAGAAAGCAAAACCAAAGATACTTCTTTTGCCACTAGGACTGATAACAGAATCGCATAAACTTTTAAAAAGTGTTGTCAAAATGCTTCTTAATATAATTTACAAATGATTAAAAATAACTCTGCAAAGTGACTAGGTTTTACTCATTACACCTGAACAGCTTATTTCTTACTCCTAAAAGGTAATGTAATAGCTACTAATTACATTACTTGTTACCTAAAAAGTAACTTGTAACGGGAAACTACTTATATAATCTGTGTCTGCCACAACAAAACCTCATATAGACTATAGTAATACATTTTCTGAACTATTTGCAGATAACTATTCTTTTTGACCATTTCCTGTATGCACAAATCACATTTTGACTATGGAGTGAACTAGATAATACATTTAGCATGTTTTTAGAATAAACACTCTCTCAAGTAGTGAAACGTGTTTATTAGTCATAACACATGTTTTTTCTCAGCTATAGATCTTGAATTTAGTGTGCTTTGTTTTGTGACTGCTCTCTGGAACAAAAACATGGGCTTAACTTGCAGATCTGATTGCTCCAGTATTTATCTCTGAAGAAATCCCACATAAAAGAGAAAATATGTTAATTGGAAGATATACTCATCCTTTTAAGGCCTTTTTCTTTGATCCTAAGAAGTTATAGCTGGCTATAACTAGCAAAAGCAGTTGCAGAAAATGAGTGGTGAAAACACTTTGGAAGCTCAACAAAGCAAGATTATGCCCCCTAGACTCAGTGACTTCAGAAGACAATGAGGTGAAGGCTCCATCAGAAAAGACTTTGCTGGCTGGGGGATTCTGGGAATCCAAACCCATTATTCTTCTAAACTCTGCTGGTCTTTGTGCCCTTAATACAAGTTCTATGCCTTGAACAGTAGTTTGATCTACAACAGGGATGGGCAACCTGTGGCACTCTAGACACAGCTGGATTACAACTCCCATTGTCTTCTTACCACAAGCTATGTTGGCTAAGGCTGAAGCGTGTTGCATCCCAACAACATCTGAAGAGCTGCTAGTTGCCCATACCTCGGAAACTAGAAGACAGAGATCTTCTCTAGATGAACATAATAACCTGCAAATTATGCCACACTAACCCATAGTTTGAAGCACACCCACAAGTGTAAGATAAGCTAAGTGTAATGACATAAACTAAGATACCAGCAACTCTAAATGTTGTTTTAATATTTCAGCTAATCTTACACATGCACCAAAATTAATAATAAATAGCTTATTTAGAATATAAGTTTCTGGAAGTGTGTGCTGGAAGTAGACTGAATCCACATTCTGTGTCTTATAAATCTATGCCTCAGATTGCATAATGCCTGGTCAAACTAATTACAGTGCACGGTGGAATGCCTGACTGGCTTATGCATGGTGCAGAGAAGATGGAGAAAGAAAGAGCGAGAAAGATTTCTTCCTCTCTCACCATGTTAGAAGCTGGAGTCATCCAATGATGCAGCATGAGAGAAAATTCAAGACAACCAGAAAGAAGTACTTCTTCACACAGTGTAATAGTTAAGTTACAAAATTCACTACCACAAGATGTGGCGTTGGCCATCAACTAAGAGGAATTTTGAAGAAGACTAGCCAATTGAGGTGAGAAAGTTTATTGAGCAGTCTTAGTGTCTACTTATTGGGGAATGATGGTGTGAGAGAGTGCTACAACTCCTATGCCTCACTTGTGGCCTTCCATAGTCATTTCATGGGCCACTGTGGGAAAGCAGATGCCAAACTGCCTAGGACTTTGATCTGTTCTGTATGTTCCAACTGTTGTGTAGCCTTCCCCAAACTGGTGTATTCCACATGCACTGGACAAAAAAACTTCCATGATAACCTAATATGCCTGGAAGCTGCCTAGTTTAGAAAGAGGGTTTTTGCTAGATAGGAATCAAACAAACCCAGATTTTCAACAACAAAGCAGATAATTTGGAAACAATGTCTAGCAATAGGGTCAACGAGCAGTGCAGTGTGTTAGTAGCAATTCCTTTTTTATTTAAAATTTTAAACTCTGCTATCTGGAAATTACCTTTTGTTGTTTGACTAAGAGTGCTGCAACCTCTGAGGTGACCACATTAACTATAGTGGTGATGTCATCCTTGAAGCGGTTGGAAAACCGTGTTCTTCGAGGCGTATCTTGTTTCTCCATTTTATCAACATACTGAGCCATGCTCTTGACCTTCAAAAGAATAAGCCTTCTTTATTAAATGTAGGCTTTTAAATCAAGGCCATACTGGGAGTTTTGAGAGAATGAACATATCTAAGACAATCGTAGCAAGCCCTCCTGATGCTTTCTGTGCATTCCATGAAACCTCAGACACACAAAAAAGCTTTATACTCCATTCCAAAGAAACTCTACAGCCAAACCTAAGAGTGAGAAGTACATGAATGCACATTCCAGACTTAGAATTTGAGATTATATTCCAGAATGCTTGTATATAATAATACACAAACACTCGGGCTTGATTTAAACGAGAAATCCAGCACAAGGGTGCCAACAGCCAGTGTTATATTTAAACTGTTCTATATTTACAGTGATATGTGTGCAACATTAGCACACTGGTATGGCACACATGCTGGGCCACAGGTTCTTGCTATACCTATGCATAGAAACATGCTCAAGAGTAACTTAGCTAAGTGTCCTACCAGCAGTGTGGTACCCCAGATGGGCAGATTTTTCAAAAATGTTTAGCTTGATAATTGTTTCTCTCAGGGCAAGTCTCCGTCCTTCATGCCCCAGTTAATGACAGAACAGCTCAGCCACATCAGTTTCTATTCCTCTATCCTTCTATTAACACTCAAATCCCTATTGGCTTATTAGTTACTTGCCAGGTCTTACACAGTGGTGCAGTGGAGCCAGAGCTCACATGGTTAAGCCAAGGAGCAGTGCCAAGGCATTCTAATGCCATCTATTGTGCTCCTACGGCTTCCTTCTTTAGTCAAAAACTTCACAGGAACTGGTAGAGGGGAAAAATCTTCCCTATACTGTTGTGTATACTGTTGTCACCAGTCTCTTGTATTATGTGAAGACTCAAAACCAATTAAGAGTCCTAACAAGGATAGACCCATTGACTCAGTGGAACTTATATAAGTGTTGACTTATCATGTTTCGATGAATTCAGTGAGTATGCTTCAGTTGTGACAAACAACTGGATTTGGGCAACAGTCTGTGAAGATAGCTTGGTCATGGATGTGCAATTAAGACCCTTTAGCTTGGACAAGCTATAGAGTCCCAGAGCATCCCCAGAAGCAGGGAATGGTGAACTACTCCTGAGTATATCTAGGAAATCCTGGAAGTGGTTGCCAAAAGTTGGAATTGACTTAATGGCACAGTTAATCAATTGACAAAGAGCTGGTATAGTTAAATGGATGTTAATGCCTGGTTGCAAAGCCAAAGCAGGGGAAAATTGTTCCCAAGCACCAGCCAAGGTCACCTGAAAACATGTTTGGCTGATGGGAACATGTGCCTTGCTTCCTAGGCAATCTTGGGCAAGGTGCATGTCGTCCCTGAGGACCACTAGTTGAAGGGACTGGTACTTTATCCCTAGAAACCTGAGGAAAGTTCACTGAAAGTCAGAAATGATGTGGTGGCCCATAATAATTATTTGTTTTGATTAAACAACCTGGTCCTAATGGACATGAAAATGATGAGAGCTGTTTTATTGATATGGTTCAACACAGCTGCCTGCATTTTCATACTTGAAAATACAGTTATGAGTGCCTTCAGGTCTTTAGGGGTACCAGTTTATCACTGGGGAAGGCTGCTAGTTTTTTGAAAGCTATTCCAGCACTTTATATCTTTTTCCTGGATTAAGCTGTTGCTTTTAAATGGTTTGTCATGATGTGTACAGTACTTGGATGTGGGAAATCATATAGAAAGGATCAAAGACTATAGCTGTCTTCAGTGTGGCTTCATCAAAACTTAGCCCTCAGAAATGGCAGTTAACTCCTCTGTTACTAAAACCAAAACACCGATATATAATCTTACCAGCAATTCAAAGAAGAACCAGGCATACTTGAATACAGATTCTCTCACCATGCCAGTGCTGACCACCATTTGAAGTGCTAACTCTTCATGGAAATGCTGCAAGGTATATTGAAAACCAGCATGTAAATACAACTCAACTTCTGCGAGATTTCTAATTGTAATTTTAGCCCTATTTGAAAATTACTTCCTTGGTTCTAGTCAACATGCGAGGAAAAGGACTACTGAACATCCCAGTTCCCCTCGTTGCTTTCCTCATTCTGAAACAGGATTCAGAAGAGGAAAGGGTTTTAATTGTGGAGGGTCTCCAAGAAAGCAAGAGCTTCTCCACACATGTTGATCAGAATCATGTAACTAAGGGCTTATGAATGCAGGAAATCCAAACTAGGTGTGTTTGAAATTAGTGCAGACAAACACACGGATCTATTTAGATTCAGGAAAACACAGGCAACCAGTTACGGCAAACAGAGATAGCTGTCAACATTAGCCAATTTGGGAAGAAAAGAAAGAAAAGAGAACACGGAAAAATTGGGTAGCAGCTATCATTGCCATGCTTTTTTCCAGTGGCAGAAGCAGTACATAAAAACTCAGGCCAAATAAAATAAATTATACAAAGTATATTAAAAAGCTGATTAAAAAAATAAAAAACCCACAAAAAAGTACAGTACTTTTTTCCAAACCTGAAATATTTAATATGAGCGCCAATTTTAGCTGAACATTGTTTAAGCTGTTATTAATGTATAGTAAATAAGTAGATGTTTTGTGGTCAGTCAGACTGAGGCCCTAAATGTTCTATGGAATCAAGTTACAGTTCAAATATTGTTAGTTCTATAACAGAAACTACAATTAGCTGTATACTGATTAGTTCCATGATAGTTTTATAACAGAAAACATGCAGAAAAGGAGACTGTCACATAAAACAACACAAAAGCCTTTAGAGCCTTTGTTAGAGCATAATGATACCACACTGTGTAGACATAATATTTGAGAAAGAAATTTCAAATATGGCATAAAGACTTCATTCGGTGCATAATTCTGGCTGGCCTCATACCCTACAGTGGACCCTCGACTTACAGACGGCTCGACTTACAAACTTTTCAAGTTACAGACTTATCTAGCTGCAAAATTTAGGTTCAACTTGCAGCCGGAGAATCGACCTACAGACCAGAAAAAAACCAAAATGGAACAAAAACGGAACAAAAATGGCTGGTTACGGGATTAATCAGTTTTCAATGCATTGTAGGTCAATGGAGACTCGACCTACAGACTTTTCGACCTGCAGCCACAGTTCCAGTACGGATTAATTCCGTAAGTAGAGGGTCCACTGTATTTCATTTAAGGTTAAAGAGCAAAATACCATCCTGTTCTACCTCTGCTTGGTTGCCCAGACTAGCTATTCCACAGTTTTCTGAAACATAAGGCTTTCTGCCATTCTAAGCACCAGCAGATGATGTTCTGCCTTATTAAAATGTTTTTAATGTCAATTTAATTGCCAAAGATCATCTGGTGATAAACCCAGACCTGGTTGAACATGACCTCCTGTATTTTCCTGCAATATTATAGAAAGCTGACCAATGAGGATCATTAGAAGAAACTTCAAAAAGTGATATGTTTAACTAAAACACACTGTTACATTTAACAAGTCAGTAAAAATACATTAACAGTGCAATTTTCTATGTTTGGCAGGGTTTGCCATGTAGTAAATGTGTTGACAATGGCAGTTTGAGTGATTTTTATATTTTTAGTTTATTTATATTCCAGCTTCATATGCATAATAGACAAATCTGCCAATTTGGTTTTGTCAAATATTGTTTGTCCCAAATTGCATATTTGTCTTGGCTTACATTCAAATCAGTTTGTGAATACAATGAAATTTGTGGAAGAAGTTACCTGAAAATGCATATACATTTTGGGTCCGTATTTTTCCAAGTACAGTGATATTTGTATCATGTTTCCTAGCATGCACACTTTTTAAAAAAAGCTTTTACTTCTGTACAATTCATTTTTGTGCATAATGTTGTTCCACTAAACTCATATTGGTACACACTTTTCCTTAATACAAATATTTTTGTACCTCTTTTCTTTAGTTGGGAGTCAAACTACAAAATGCTGAGAAGCATGGATTTCAATATGCAGTTAAGTTCCTGTTCACATTCAGGTTGGTGGGAAGTTCACATGACATTTTCATCTAATAAATATATCCTACATATTTATACGCTCCTACTCTGGCCCAAAGAGGCCCTTAAAGTAATTTTTGCAAAGGTGTCTAACCTAGATATTCAATTATCAAATTATCTAAACACCTCAGTGGGTTAGGTATTTGATTTTGAGCAAGGCCCACAGTCTCAGGATGTTCACAGAAGAAGGGAATGATAAACCACTTCTGAATATTCTCTACCTAGAATACCCTGCAAAGAGTCAACGTAAGTCAGAAATGAGTTGATGGCACACCTTTATTATTCTTATTACTGACAGGTTGATTTTTCCTTCCTCCTATCACTCCTCAGAGGAGTATTTGCTGTCAGAAATGGTATTTCAGCTCCATTTTTGAGCCTGCCTATGACTGGTGTTGCATTATGTGGCAGTCTACCTTTTTATTAGATGGCCGAGAGCTTGTGCAGGAACTATCACTGCTGGGCTCGCTATAGCAAGACATCCGGTTGTAGCTCCGATCTGCAACCTTGAGAAAATGACCAGAAGTCAAGTGCAAAAAGAATTACTGGATGGGCAACTGTGTCAGCTGTAGAGTGAGCAGAAGGAAGGAAGAAACTAAACTAAAGACTTGGAGAGCTGTTTCCTAGTCTCATTAACTTGTGTTATATATTTGGTTGTTTAAGCAATATAGGATTTCAGGAATATATCCTGATCTCAAGCTATAACAGTTACTAGAAAGAAAGCACACGTGCACACAAACACAATTATCTTTTATGAAGTATGTTATCTGCAATAAATTTGAAAATGTAAATACACGATTGCCCCCTTGTGGCCCACTCTAGGGGCTATGTTTCAAAGTTTTTATATACTCAGCATTGCAACAAAGGAAGGGGAGGAAGCTCTTTTCTTTTTGAAGAATTTTAAGTAATAATTAAAACCCAATTCAGTGCTCAGTGAGGTTGCCATTCCATAGACTTCAATATATCTGTATTCATTAACCATTATGCAGATATGCTCCTGTTGTGTGGATTAAAGTTTACAATGCAATTACTGGATAACAATTTATTTCACTTGATAATACTGCCTGTTAAAAGGGGCATATATTATTGCATTGTAATACCAAATAGGATTATATGGAAGTCAGGTCATAGATGGAATTAACCAACAACATATGGTAGGTAGAGGTAACTGCATACTATCTTTGTCTGCTCTTTTTGTTATGAAACTGAATGAAACTTCCTGAGCTAATCTTAGGACTGGAAAGAAGAAGGAAAAGGCTGTATGTGTAAGTGTAAGTGTAAGAGTGGGTGATTCCTTCTATTGAACCATTAAAAATCAAACAAACGGCAAACTTAATCCTAGCCGTTTGGCTACCAGACAACTGCAAAAATAAGGGATCTAATGGGTGCATAAGCTCTTCGTTTAGTTCATAGCATAATTTTAACTTTTGCAATCTTCTTTCCAGGGAAATAAGTTTCTGGTGTTGAAGCAATATGCTTTGCAAATCAACTGATCTGGAATGTTATTGTCTCCTCTTACCCTTGAGGACATGATGCTGTGGACTTCTTCATCAGTAGTAGCCTGGGTCCCAGCAATATCTGGATTACTACAGCTCGTTGCTCTACTCTGTAGGAGTCGAGAGCCCACGGAGACAGCCGTGGTGCGGCCATAGGTATAATAACGAGATTCAGGCATACTAGCACTTCCTGTTGCACCTGCTAAGAGAGAAACATTATTGTAGTCCGTACTACAAATAAATGATTATTTGAATTAAGTGATTCTTTTTGTCCTTCTGCTTTACAGTAGATGGCTTGGTTGAAGCCTTGGCCCCTAGCCAGGACCTTATTTTTGCTCCAGAGGAAAACCGGAACACACCCCAAAAGCATTTTAGACTTCCAAATGTCCTCCAACCCAAATATATGTCTCCATGTACACATTCATAATCTATATATTCTTATACTCATACCTAAATACATATATCTGTTCATGTCTGACAGCAATGTAAATAATCAATCTAGGGCCACAAAGTAGCAAATAGGACCTTGGAGGCATATCTGTTAGTGGTAATTCCACATGAGATATTCCAGAGAATATTTTCTTGCTTTGGATATCATTCAAATTATGCAGTGTATTTTATACTATGGCCGAAACCTTGTTAAGAAATAAGTTAAGAAACCTTGTATGTGTTATCCGTTCCATACCAAGTCACAGGACCCAGTATGCAACAGATCAGTGGTCCCCAACCTTGGGCCTCCAGATGTTCTTGGACTACAACTCCCAGAAGCCTTCACCACCACCTCTGCTGGCCAGGATATCTGGGAGTTGAAGTCCAAGAACATCTGGAGGCCCAAGGTTGGGGACCACTGCAACAGATAATGTCTACATAAATTTCTTAACTTCCAGCAATTCGTGTCCAAAAGTTATGCCATTTGCCTAGTTGCAACAGGACCTCAGCCTATAAGTATCTCTGCATCACTTACAACAGGGATGGGAATTCTCTGGCTCATGAACCTCATGCAGCCCTTAAGGCTGCTTTTGTTGTCTCCAAAAATAAGAGAACTGTCTTATATGCCTTGTTTTAGCTGCTTAGAAACTACCTGGTCACTTCTTGTTTAATTTTAAGAGATTAGTGCAACCACTGGAAGACCCAATAATTAGAAAAATGCCCCTCAGACACCACACCTGACTAACATCGTATGAATTTGTAAAGGAGAAGGACCATTGCACTAACTGGGCATCAGATCTGGGTAAACATCCTGGACGTTAGGGTATAATGTAAGAAAGACATCAGTGTGTGCTTGGGATCCTCTACTACAGTGGTCAGGAAACAGGGGTAAATTACCCCAAATGGGGTAAAAATGAAAATCCTGGGGGTAATGAATATGGTTGCGCCAGGCATTTTGATGCTGTGTGTAGGCGGTCATTCCATCGCGGGGAGAGTGAACCCTGGCGAGGAACTGCACACGCCCCCTGCCTGCCCTCCTCGCCTCCAAAGTTGGGGGGGAGGGCAGCATGGCAGGCCAGCTGGACTCTTTGCCCAGCGGAGCCCTGGCTAGGGCTCCTTCCTGCCTGCACTCACCTGCCCGGTGCTCTGGCAAGGAGGCCCCCTTCCTGCCCACCTCACCTGAGCTCATGGCCAGTGGACCTGCCAGCCCTGCAGCACCCGCCTCGCCTTGCCAAGGACACACTTTCCCAGCGGTGTGGTGGCTCCAGACTAGCTGCCCGGGTGGTGGCCACAGGTCCTGGGGAAGCGCAGAGGTGGGGGGTCGGCCACAGATGGCGAGAGCCGGGGGGGAATGTCGACGTATATAAATTGGGGGGGGGGTAAAAGGTAAAAAAGTTCCCTGACCTCTGCTCTACTAGTTCTAGCCAACTGCCCATACCTAGTTTGACAAGCTCTCTTTGAACTTCAGGAAGACGGAAGACATAATAAACATAAGATGCTAGAAGACAGTTTCTCCCGTGCTGGTCCTTGCTTAGGTCTTTGCTGTTGTGGAGGCTGTTCACTATTGCAACTACAGATTCAAAGGCAAATTGGGAGAAGTTGGCTAGAAACAGAAGGGAAAGAATTAGTTTTTCATGAAGCTCACGACAAAGCATGTGTAACACAACTCAAGTTGTCTATAGCACACATATTTCCCACACAAAAATTACATGCCACAGTTTAATCTCACCCATAGGTATCAGACCAGCTGTCTTTTAGGAGCTCCAAATGTAACTTAATAATATAAAAATTCATGTTTAAAATAATATAATGGATAATTTGCTATTCAAAGTATATGATCCTTATTCAAACAATTTTGAAAACAAAACATTCTAATATACATTATAAAAAGAGAAAAGATGGTTAAGTTTTAACCAGTTTGTGTGTGTGTGTGTGTTATCAGACCAGCTGTCTTTTAGGAGCTCCAAATGTAACTTAATAATATAAAAATTCATGTTTAAAATAATATAATGGATAATTTGCTATTCAAAGTATATGATCCTTATTCAAACAATTTTGAAAACAAAACATTCTAATATACATTATAAAAAGAGAAAAGATGGTTAAGTTTTAACCAGTTTGTGTGTGTGTGTGTGTATGAGAGAGAGAGAGAGAGAGAGAGAGAGATTTTATTTTTAATTTAATTTTATTGATATGCTGCCCTTCTCCTCATCGAGGACCCAAGATATACTACATATATACCATACTAAAAACAATTAAATATATATTGAGATTAAAAATAAGCTTAAAACATTTTTAAAACATTTAAAAATGTCTAAGTTTAATAAACACAGCATTCCTGAGACCTTATTGCTCAAAAGTATGCCTGAAAAGGAAGGTCTTTGCCTGATGACAGATGGACAAGCAGGAGGAAGCCAACCTGGCTTCTCAGAGCAGTGCATCCCAAAGTCTGGGAGCAACACTGAAAAGATCTCCTTTTGTGTCCTGGGACATTATATGCTCCCTATAACCATTGCCAGGCATGTGTCACCATGGCCAGATGTAACATCTCAAGGAATGGGTGCAGGTGGCACGTCACTGTGCAAAGGCACTCCTGAAACCTGTGCATCCAAGCTCAGGGTTGAGTCCAGGAACACACTGAATCTGCAAACCTGACTTTTCAGGGGGGATGTACCCCATCCAGTACAGACTGAATCCCTATCTCATTATTTGTCTTTTGACTGAGAGGGAACACCGCTGTCTTTTCTGGATTAAATTTCAGTTTGTTAGCCCTCATCCGGTCCATTACTGACAAAAGACACTGGTCTAATTACAGTTCAGCTTTGTTTGAATCAGATGGAAAGCAGAGATGTGAGAATCATCAGCATACTGATGGTACCAAAACCCCAAACCTCTCCCAGAGGTTTCATATAGATGTTGAAAAGCGTGGAGGATACGACTGAGTCCCGAGGAAGAAACCATTGGCCAGGGTGTTGGACTGGATTCCCCCAACACACCCTTCTGAGTTCAGTGATCCAGGAAGGACTAGGACCACTGTAAAACAATACCTCTAAGATCCACTCCAGAAAGGCGCCCCCCAAAAGGATACCATGGTTGATGGTACTGAAAGTCACTGAGACATCCAGCAAAACCAACAGGAACACACTCCCCTTGTCTATTTCCCTGTGCAGGTCAGCTACCAAGGTGCTAAGGCCATCTCTCTTTTGTAACCAGGCCTGAATCTTGACTGAAATGGATCTAGATAATCTGCATCATCCAAGAAGCTCAGGAGCTGGGACGCCACCACACCCTCCAATGATATCACTTGGGTATAGGCCACAGTGTTTAGTGTAGCATCCACAGTTAGGTAAATAGTTATTCTAGGACAAGCCGTCTAAAGTTTTGAGTTCTACAGTAGTTTCCATGAGGAAGTTAAATCTCTTGCTTCTATTTAAATCTTGCTGACATTATAAATTACTTATTTTCTTTTTTTAAAAAGTCAGCTGCAATTAGCTCATTATCCCTTGGGTAGCTTAATGAGTTTGTCACTAACAGCGCTGTTTGGTGCAATTTTATAATAACAAGTACCTGTCTGTCCAGCTATAACCATGGGCTGGATAAACAGCTGGAAGAGTTTATCCAACACTAAGTGTAAAAACAATACTAAGGGCTCAAGGCGGGAAGAATTCAAGCAGATAATGCTGAGTTTCAACTCATGTTCAAGGGTGGCTTCTGTGATCTTCTCATTCAACACTCGAATGGGGAAGGCAACTTGGCTCTCCAAGGCATGGCACAGGGTAAAGAATTTCTCCAGATGGTTGTCCTATAAAAACAAGCCAAAGATGCACCACTTTAAAAGGTATCTATTGCATATCCCGAGTTTTTGCTACTGAACATTGCTCCAAGCAGGAAATAATAAAAAAAGGTTTCTTAATTTTCTTAAGTTCCACTGGTTGAAAGCCAGCCACATAACTTACACCACATAAGGCTGGTGATGTCATCAGCCACAGCAATTTTCAGAAACAAAACATTTCCAGTTCCCCCTTTCCCTGAAAGTCGCAAGACTCCTATGGAATCTCTTTTGTCATGGAGAACCCATTGGGAGCTGTGGTACTGGGAGCGGAGGATCAAGACTCTCGAACCTCCGAACTCACTGCTACTGGGATGAGTTGACCCACAGCAATTTTTGGACATGAAAGACTGTGGATTCCAAAAGCTTCCCATTTACAAAAGGGATTCCATGGGAACCTAAGGATCTCTGGGAGGCAGGAGAGGGACTGGAAATATTTTATTTCCAAAAAATTTCCAGGGCTAATGACATCATCCGGTCTTACACAGCATAGTTTATGGAACAGGATTTCAGCCATTAAATCTCAAGTAATTATTTTTTTTTAAGGTTTGGCATTTTAAAAGGCAAGCTTTAATGTAGTCATTCCAAATTGTTGTTTATTTATTTACAGCAGATTCTAGTTACTTCTCATTAACAATGTAAATATCACACTGTGATCCTACTCACAAACTCAAGAAACTTGCAAAATGCATGAGTGTAATTAGTCAGGAATAATTAACCATCAAAAACATTAGTTTTAGGTTGAAATACCAAATGTCATCTAGAAAATCAAGAAAACATTTGCAGTCCATCACTTTTCTCCTATTCTCTTGAAACAGTTTTTGTTTTCTCATTTGAATTGCAAACCTACTTGGCAGTTCTGATATAAATGAAAGGAAAAGGCATCTAAATTTACCTCAGGAGAGATGAAATTGCTAGAGATGGGAGGGACAATTTTCAGCACAAAAATGGCCCAAGGGCAGATAGGTTTTAAAAAGCACCTTTTCTCCACCTTCAACCATATCAACAAGTTCTGTTTTGGCTTCTTCTTCAATACAAACTCCATTTAGAATTCTTGAGGCACTCACCAACATTTTGGTGAATTTTTCACTAAAGTCAATTAAAATGGAGCTCATATACCCCACTGGTTTGTACATCTATGGGAAAGGCATGCTACATCTTCGCCAAACATTTAGTAATAAGATGCCAGGTTCATTAGGAGTTCAGGAATCTCCTACCACAGGTACAGTATTTGTAAAGACTAGAGACAGTTTGGCTTTCAACTGGGAATTAAATTAAGTATTTGTACCTAAGGGACTTTCCAGACAATTTCAAAGCTCAGCAGGACTGCACACCAGTCTGTGTCAAAATGCAGCCTCCGAGTCTGCACTGCAATTGAGGCTTAAGTACTCCAAAACAAGGATCACAGAATTACTTACATAATCAATGCACACTATGAAGAAGGTTCCTTGTCTGAAGAGAAAGCTGGTGGGAGTTCTAATCAAAATTTTAGGTAGCCTCAGTTTTTCTAATTCTGACATTTTGGAAGTAAGCCACTACAGTTGCGTGGTGAACAGGAAAGAGAAACATAATTCTTCCCATGCATGGTTTTAGGATGCCAGTTTCCAATTAAAACTTATACCTTTACCTCTGTGTGAACTGATGATACACCTTGCACTTCAACATTAAACACCCCTTTGTGTCCTTCAACCCATTTAATTGGAGGGGACTGTGCAGGAACTTTCTGTATTAAAGAAAAAACAACTTCTTAATGCAACTGCATACACTCCTCCTCACCAATAGAGTTTGCAATTTTCATATATTTCAATATACAGTATATGTACTTGATTTGGAATATTTTTTCCCAAGCCACCTCTCACCTACTCATGCAATTACAGGAGATTTCACTCACTTGGTCCCTATTGCTCATCATTCACCTTGTTGAGTTAGGTAGTGGTTGCTGGACGTAGTAGGTGGGGAAAGATGGATTAAAGCATGCTACTTTCTATCACCTGCTTTGACTGACTGACTGAGTGATTGACTGATTTCTATCCCACCTTCATCCCAGAAAATGGAACCCAAAGCAACTTACAATATAACTGTTTTTAAAACCAAGTATAATAAATAAACCATTATAAATATTAAAACATGACATATTTATGTTGCCATAATAAAACAGAATGGAATTAAAAATACTTAAAAACCCATCAATTAAAATAATTACAATTTGCAATAGCAAATTGCAACCCATCCTTAAAGCCTCGTCCTGTCAGTTCTTTGCCAAAGGCCTCCCCGAACAGGAAGGTTTTTGCATGCTGGCAGGGCATTCGTGAGGTGGCCAACATAGCTTTCCTCAGCAGAGTTCCATAGTCAGCAATATGCCTACAGCATGTGATTAATTAACCTGAGTCAGAGTATACTGAAGCTCATAATGGGAAACTAACAGAAGCTTCAGATAGGGAAGTGTTTGAGTGTATCTGTACTACATAATTATGACAATCTACCACTTTAATGGCTATGGCTCCATCCTACAGAATACTAGGATGTGCACTATTGTAAGATACTTAGAATACTCCACTGTAATTCCAGGCAGGCACTGAAGCTTTCCAGCAAAGAATTCTAAACATTCCACCAAATTCTGAAGTCTGAGATTCTATCAGATAGAGGCACGAATGTTAAAGGGGTATGTAACTGTTATAATGGTCCAGTACATACATGGTCAGTAAACAGATTGTTAACAATAACAGTATAGCAGAAATGTCTCCCATGCCACCTAGCAGCCACCAAGGGATTTTTTTGGCCCTTCCCCCCACCAATTTTTAAAATCCAAATTTGGGAGGCAGGGGGATTCTAGGGCCACATTTGAGTCCCTGGGGGTCACAGATCGCTTAGGGCCTGATGTTGCCATTCCTTGTGATAGAGAATTTGCTAATGTTTATATTTAGGCAGCCAAATAAGACAATTCCCTTGCCCTCTCATAAATGGATAGAAGGTTAAGGAAGTTATCCTGAAACTAGCTCAGTGTTTTATCTTACAAAAATAAAAAAAATAAAAAACAGTTTGTGCCTTAAAGATTAGCAGATTTACTTCACACTGAAATAAATCACTAGTCTATAAGATTTTCCAACTCTTCTGTTTGACGTTTCCTATACATGCTGAAACAGACTAAGACAGCTACCACATTAGAAAGTATCAGATGTAAATGCACAAATGTGTTCATTCCACATTTAACTGCATATGATCCTCTTGTTTAAGAAAGGCAAATACATGGGGAAGAGAGTTAACCGTATTTCCTAGATCAACTGTTTCTTTTACAGGATTTGTCCATTACCTCTGCAGAGTGTATTGAATAGTTGGCAGGCAGTTTATCCAAGGCAACAGGAAGGCAATAATGGCCTGTTTGAAGACGATCATTTAACAAAATCGGCAGCCACTGAAACAGATGAATGGGAAAGTCAGAGCCACACTTGATGCTCTGTATTGATCTCATTTAATTATATTCCAAAGGGGAAAAATAGAGAATGTGTTCCTCCCCATATCATAAAGACTTTTACAGTTTTATTTGTTTTAATAGCTACTTTTGAATAGCTATTAAACTCTTGTTTAACTCTTGCCTGTAAGAATTATTAATTCTCCATGCTAAAAGGGTCATAACATTTCTGAAAGTTAAACCCGATATATGTACAGTAGATGACTCTTCTTGTCACTTCAGAAGTATAAATGTTGCAGGTAAGATCTATTCCTACCCTAAGTGAGAATCTCAATGCAATTGTCTAACATGCCCTTGTGGAGAAGCAGGTCAGGCCTATCTTTCATGTACTTGACAGGTGCCCTAGACAACCCAAACACAACACTACATTACATACACAACAGATAACTGCAACAGACAGTACTGCCACAGATGGTCTTATACATGCAACACAGATGTAGGGCTTTCTGCACACAAATGGAAGACACACCCAACAGGTAATGCACAATATTCTTATACATAACTAAGACATAGACAGTCCATATATATACTGTACACACAAAGCATATTTCTATGACAAACATGCAAGATAGAACAAAACTGACATATGATACATGTTAACAAGTACACACAAACAACACATCTGCCATGCAATTATAAGCAGCAGACACAATGTGAGACATATAAAATAAACGGTATGTATATGAACTACACAGTCATTACGGACAATTACCACATATGTTGTACAAACAAGAATATTACACCATGTACCACACAATGGTTTAAATCCTGTTGCTTGGCATGGTAAGTAGCAATAGAGGAGGCCCACTGAATCAGTGAGGATGTGATGCGCCAACTCCTCCATCACTTCCACTGGTTCAAGTCGGCCTACTCTAGTTGCATCTCGCTTTAGTGTAGAGATGCCCAATTTCAATCAATGGAACATACAAGCAAAGTTTACTCACCAAATTCCCACAGATTCAATGAGCCTACTCCAGTACTACTTACAATGCTAAACAGAAGGATTCTAGTCATAGTGTTTTTCACAATGTGTGTTGAATACATCTACCACACATCTAAAGGAACACTTTTTGTGTTTATCTTGGTTCTGAAAGGTTGTTGCATGTCTGTGAAATTAAGTATGCCTATGACACATCCTGTGTGTATCAGGTATCTTATTGTACATATTTGTCATTTTTTTACCATGCTGTATATGTCTATCACATACTACATGCACATTGCATTACACACAATACTGTATATTCCTGGTATCATCTGTCTGTCAGAGATAAGAGCATCATGTCAACAAAAAGAGTTCCACATACAGCTGTGTATTCCAGAAATGTTTGTGTGCATTGCATGTACACTGCAAGCTTCCATCATACTTAGCATAAAAGTCTCACATGCCCCATAATATGACAAACTGTATTTTACCCACGTTCTTTTAAAATATCCCATCTGCATATAAGAAGGCAGAAAATTTTTGTGTTTAGTAGGCACAATCTATTACAAGTTTTTACTTAATGGAATATATTTGACAGATAAGTGGAAAAAATGTTGCCCTTTATTTCCCCAGGAATTTAACTGATATATATAACTTACTGAATATCCCAAGAGAGTTTCTACACATCCTCCTTGTTTTGGTTGACAACTGATGTGGTAAAACGTGAAGAGCAAATGGTGTTTTTTTGTCAGTTTTGCAGGGAGCTTAATTTTCACTTCTTCATAGAAGTCTGGAGATCTGTGGTTCCATTTTTTAAATTAAACAAAGAAACATTTCATTTGGATATCTCTGAGAGTAAAACCAACATTAATCCCTTCAAAATACAAAACAGAACAGCTGCAAATAAATTAGGACCCCCATATCCACGGAAGATCAGTTCCAAGCCCCTCACAGATGCTGAAAAACACAGATTTTAGCAAATCGACATGGCATGGTCTCTTGCTCCCTCAAGGGGCCAGTTCTGGTAATGACATCATAGGAATATATTTCTCTAGCATTTACATAGCATGGTCTCTGCCTCCCCCTAATGGCCAGTTCTGGTAATTTCATATATATAGAGAGAGAGCCAGATGGTGCATTGATGGTGACCACTCTCATCCAGTGTCTCTGATATTAGTCGATTTTACCTACATAATATCTTTTTATCTTCCTGGTCATTGACCATAATAAATATTGTTTTAAATTAAAAATTATGATGAAAAGATATTATGTAGGTAAAATCAACTAATATCAGAGACACTGGACGAAAGTGGTCACCATCAATGCACCATCTGGCTCTATCATGACTTTAATAGGGGAGAGAAGATCCTTGCAGAGATCTCAATAGAAATGACCGTATAAGAGGACATGCCCCACTGTTGCTGCTTCACTACCATCACAAGGACATAAATGATCAAAATATGGTTTTAATATTTTCAGACCATAGATAAATGGATCAGAAGATACAGATCACACAGATATGGGGGTCCTACTGTATTTAAAACAAAATCTTGACAGTCTTGAGTTGGTCCAGGTGAAAAGCAAGTTCTAAGATGATGAAGGCATCCTCGCACACTCTGTTCCATCACAATAGGATTAGCTAAGTTTTCAAATTCTACATTAAGTTGCAATCTTCTTTTGTGAAATACTGTATAGCCTCAGGCTTCCCTGAAAAAAATGCTAAGCCTCCAGACAGTAATTACGGGTGTATTTCAGTACAATAATGAGCATCACAACACAGCTCATTTCCATTCATGCACATGCTGTATCCCACTATAGAGTACTTTGAGAACCATTCAGCTGTCCACAGCCACACAAACCCCTGCCAAACAAAACTAAATGCAAGTGCTGCATGTGAAAGTCCTTGCTTTGGATGCAGAAGGTCCTAGGTGCAGCCCCTCACATCTCCAGCCAGATCCAGGAGAGACCTCTGTATCTGGATCAGCACAAAGCAGCTTCCTACAGTCTATGAACAGAGAGAATGTTCCCATACTATGAATGTTGTCCCGAAGATTCTTCTTACAGCTGCCCTCTCACTGGCAAACAGTGATTCATGAAGCCTAGCTTTGTATCTAATAACTAAGTACATCCATCCTCCTATCACCTATTTTAGTATAACAAACACAACCATCTTAATCACTGATGCTGCTACTGTCCATGAAGTGACCCAGCTCTATTTTTCCTGCTTAAAGCCAGTTCTTAACATTTTATGCCAGACAAATATGCTCAAATAATGGTAACATTAATCTTACTTGTTATGATATGTCACAGGTGTGTAAATCTCTTGAACAAATTCTGGACCACTAGATTTTCCAAAGATGACCTATACAATGAAACATAACATAATGTAAAAATGATTTACCTAAAAATATGTCATGTAAAGAGGCAGTGACACTGATGCAAAGGTTGAATTTATGAAGCTATGCCAGTGTATGTTAATATTATGCATTCATTTGAACACTGAGAATATCTAATTTATTTCCAGCTGGAGCACCATGAGGACACATGCATCAGTCTTTAACTTCCCTGCAATAGAACAAAGAATATGATATACAATTTATGAAACCCAAAGATTGAACTTTGCTTTAGAAGAGTTATTGTGTTTTGAACATAATAACTCTTCTAAAACAAAGTTAAATTTAGTTCAAATCTACACCTGGTACTATGTTGCTGCCAGAATCCAAAATGTTCTCAGTCAACATGCAAAGGACCTAAATGATTTTCAGAATACTGTATTTTAAAATGTGTATTATTGAACCCATCATTTTCTGAGTATTCCATATACTGAACTACCGTAACTGAAACTTCTAAACTACTTTTATAGGGAGTTCCGTGTATGAGACATTACAATTGTCCAATGATGCACTTAGGAACATGTCCCATGTTTTTATAAATTTACAGCACAAAGGTCCTTTAATCTCTACATATTTATGTGCATATACAGAATGCAACAGAATATTGAACATTTACACAGCAGTTGATCTCAAAGACATTAAACTGCCTTAGCCATTTGAACTTGAAACAAACAAGGTTTTCAGTTATGTTTGTGATGTGTTAGCTGAATGAAATAGAAAACCACAGCTAATTTTTGCTCCCTGACCTTGCTTCATTGTCTTAGGCTGTATTCAAGCCTATTTTGTCTCTCCCCCAATCAGTGTGATGTTTTTCAATAGTTCAGTCTCATCCTGACCTTAAAATTGTTTTTTTTTAAGTATGATATGCGATATGCTGTTAAGTTGGAACCAACTTACAGTGATCCTAACAGGGTTTTCAGCGTACGTGAGATATTTAAGGAGGGATTTTACCAATTCCACACTGCAGTGAGTTTCTGTGACTGAGCCAGGATCCAAACCCAGGCCTCCCGAGTCCTAGTCTGTCACTCAAACCACTGCAGGAGATGGCATGTCACTAATTCTACCTTGGCTAACATCTGGGCCAGAACTCCAGAGACTGTGTGGGATCGAAGAATTTCCTGAAATGGGACCCAAAACACATTCTGGCATATCCTGACACAAGCCAAAAATATTTGGAAGGAAGTGTTAAACAGGGAATGGGAAATTGAGAATTGACCTGCATGTGTTTCTGTACAGATTAATACGTGCCTCATGTATAAGAGGCTACCTTACCGGCATTGCACTGCCAGGGTCTTCTCCGCACATAAACTGAATCTTAATAGTAATGTTTCGTCCTGAAGCCAGACGGTTTGCAAAATTCAACCGTTGTGGATACACATAAAGAAGATTCCTGGGGTGGAGGCAATAAAATAAAACCCACACAAAACATAAAGATTGTATTAGTTTTAAAATATTAACCTCTATACCATAGTTAGATTATAATCTCTTCTCTGTCATTAGCTAGCTGAATAGCTTACTTTTCTTCAGAAGACTAGATCTGTGCAAGGACTCCTTCTACTGTAAGGAAAACCAAATCTATAATAAACTTTTCATTCTTTCTCCAGTGTAGAGAATCAGTTCCTTCTGACTTCAGCTATCATCATCAACCAGGGGTAGGAATTACACAGCCTGTACCCAGAGTGTTTCTGAGGCTTCTTTAAAAACTATTCTGCTGGTTTTTTTGTGGCAATTCATATCCACTGAATTTCAGCAGCCGTGGAGTACCAATCCTCCTCTTAAAGCATTGCTGCAGTCTGCCAAACTGTCAAAACTACTATTTGCTGTAAATAGCTGGTAGAATTGGCAGCTGAGTTTCACTCTGATATAAATAAAACAAGTGTAAAACTTTGGCCTGGGTGGTGGGATTATGTTTCTATGTTGTGATGGGTCTTGCAGAGTTTGTTTGTTTTTTAGTGTTTTTCCCCCATTTCTAATGGATCTTGCAGGGTTTGTTTGCTTTCTGGTTTTTTTCCCATTTCCGAAGGGTCTTGCATGGTTTGTTTGCTTTCTGCTTTGCTTTTTTTGCATTTCCGAAGGGTCTTACATGGTTTGTTTGCTTTTCTTTTCTTTTTTCCGCTCTTCAGCTTGAATGGATTAATTGCATTTCAATGCATTCCTATAGGAAATGGTGCTTCGACTTACAACCATTTCGAGTTACGACCGGAGTTCCGGAACCAATTAAGTTTCTAAGTTGAGGCACTACTGTACTTATTTTCTTCAGAAGTTTGATTCAAACACAAATAAAAGCAAGCTCATACTTTAATGATCTAAAATTATATAACTGATAGGTTAAGATTTATTTCATTTTGTGGCAGACTTAAGACGGGATGTATGCTAGACCTGTACTTGATCGTGGGAAACGTTTCACAATACAGTCAGTTTTCTGACCAGCTGTGATGCAATCACCATCACACATCATCCTCATGACTTTCACGTTATGTCATTAAGGGTGAATCAGCCAAAAGTGCCACAGTAAACTAACAGTTTGGGGGAGGGTAGTTTTATATTAACTTTTTGTTATGGTAAGTTGAATTTGATAGAACATGTTGGGTTTTATTTAAAACAAAGAGAATTTTGTATGGAAGTACAAGCACAAATGCAAGACAAAAAGAAAATGCTGGCAGCACAACAGGCATTGTGTATATACTATATATTGACGGTTTCAAAAATTACATGCAGCTAAATTGCCAGCAACAAGATAAGCACTGTGATGCAGAATCTCATGCACATTTTGATCTGTATTACTCTAGACTGCATGAACATGCAGGTTCCCTTTGACAGATCAGTGCAACAGTACTGAACACTTTTATTCAGATTAACTATCCTGATGAAGTTTCGTAACTAAAGTAAATCAGTTTCCAGCAGATAGTTGCATTGGTTTGCAGCAGCACAAGAATCTTTGTTATTTCAACTAGATAAAGTTTTACACCACTATTGTGTTCTTCCCTTATTATTCAGGAAAAATCAGGAGGCGGCTACATGGTTGTAGAAACAATACAAATGTAGGAATAGGTGATACCTTTATTCAATCATTAAGAACTCCCTTATTATGTTATGTAATTGTGAAACACCTAGTGATGAGAACACCTAGTTGATATGGATGAGTTTGGGGGCAACTCATGGGATCAGCAGGGGTGGCACCTCACTCTGAAATAATGAGTGAAGCAGCTCCCTTCACAGACCATGGGGGAAGTGCCACCCCTGCTGATCTCATGAGCTGCTCCTGGGTGGATGGGCAGCGTCCTAAAAAGAAAAACTCCAAAGAGAGTACTGTATTTAATGGTAGGTTCCTATCTGGATAAATAATCAATAAAATTACCACAGTGACAGAAGAAACCACCATGCATTAACAGAAATGTAAAAAACTATGGCTCTCCAGCTGTTATTCATATGCAGTTCATATCAATCCCAACCAGCATAGCCAATGGTGAGAGTTACTGGAATAGTCCCAAAACTACTGGAGGGCCACAGTTGCACAACTCAATGGAAAACAACAACAGGAAACTTTACTTCACCTTTTGAAAGGTAAAGGAAAAACTGGCCAGAATCCTCATTGTGATTTTATATGTGTATAGATTAAATTGCATGATTAATTAATGGCCATTAACGAGGTACCAGTCACATTACTAGGTGCATGCCTGTTGTTCAAATAGTTGTGTGTCTTCTCAAGTGACTGTTGCCTCATTGATGTCTATTCACCACAGTAAATTAAATAGTGTAACGTCTGTGCCTGTGAATCACCAACAGCGTGCTAGCAATTGCAAAATAAAAACATATGTAAGTGCCCACTATGTCTTGCCCAGAAGAATATTCCACATTCAAGGGGCTACCATTGAAAAGGTATGGGAGAAAAAAGTAAAATGAACATCTGGATCCCAAGCTATGTAGCCATCTGGCCATCCCAAATTAAAGTGTATATGTAATAATCCTGTCCATAAATTATCAGGGCACTTGATAACCACAGCCATGCAAGATCTATCACACTTTTCTTACACTTGTTGTTCTAATCCAGCAAGGGAGATTGACTGTTGTTTTCTCTTACCTATACACAGTGTGAGGGACATAGACTTCTCGTACTGGAAATTCCAGAATTTCTTTATGAGGACGACTGCGGTTCTCAGGGAAGGGTTTCACCTGTAATAACTCTGGGCTGAGGCAACAACTGAGGCCTTCTGGAGCAGGGGAGATCTCCAATTTAAGTAATCCTTTAGAAGAAGAAAAAAAGGCAGAATGTTACATTATATACATATACAGTTCTGAGATTCCCAAAGCCAACATGTTCAGTGGCTGTAGTTCAGAAATGGGGTGACTTATTGGGTCACCTAGTTGTGGCTGGAGCAGAGTTTTCCCAGAGAGGTTGGTGACTCTCAGGGAGCTCATAGTAGGCTTGCTCCCATGGAAAAAGTAAATGCTGAAAGAACTCCAGGCAATGTTCAGCCCCCTTAATTTGCATGTAGGGTGGTAGCTCCAGACTGAGTTTCCTGTGCCAGGGCTAGCTAGGGCCATCGGCCATGTAAGGGGTGATGAAGCCACACCATCATATCAGTATCATAAAAGTTATGAAGAAGGACCTACTGGTATAGCTAGCCTTCCTGACAGACTTCAAGAGAACAGCAGTTTGAAAGCAGCTCTGGGAGGTGGAGGCCAGTCTTCAGATTCACTTGGATCCAGTGGGAAGCATGGGTTTCAAGATGTATTTCGCAGGATAGGGGTGTGCACAGAAATGGCCTCAGGAACAGGTGGAGACTAGTCTTTTTAAGGATCTAACGTTTCACAAGATCTTTCCCAGTGTAGTGGCATTTACCCTTTGGCAGAAGGAATTTGGTAACAAACAAGTTAACTTCTGGTGTGACAACCAGGCAGTGGTAACAGTGGTGCGACTGCCAGCAGGTGGAGGCAAAAACTCAGATTTGATGGGGCAGGTGATCATCCAGTGGATTGGAGCCAGCTAATGTCCCTCCCCCTTTTTTGTGGCACTAACTTATCTGCAAGGGCCCACCAGATGTGCTGCTCTTACAACTAGGGGAGAACGATGCACCAGCCTTGGAAGGACTCACCTTGACTTATTCCATCAAAGTGGACTCGTATATTATAAATACTGGCTACCCCACAATCTGGGAGTTGAGGTCCGACCTTCTGGAGAGGCTTATATGACAAGGTGCTGAGGGCCCCTCACAAGGTGGACATTTCTAGGCAGAAGGTGACCAGGGTGATTGGTCATGGAGTGTCATCCTGGCATAGCAGCTAGCATACTGGCACCTCCTACAAGTCGGCAGCCCTCTCCCACAAGGACAGAGCATATCTGTCAGACTGGAGACAGGATGTGCGAATAAAGGATGTTCAGGAGGTCATGGCAGATTGGCTGCAGCTGCAATTGTTTGGTGGGATTTGAGCAGTGCTGAGCTCTTACAGGCTTGGGGCACTGGGGTGGATCCAGGCAGTGATGGAGCAGCAGGTGGGAAACTGTCATTTCCAGGTATAAGGAATCCACTTAAGAGAAGCTGGGGTTTTTGGTCTGGTGTAGCTCAGGGGCCAAAGGCCTGGTAGCAGGAAGCCAAAGAGTGGCACACACGCACATGGTCTCCAAAGGACTGTCACTCCTGATGGTGACCCTCAGAAAACTGCTGACAGGTGGCGGCAGCATCGGGTTTCTTGATATTCTGGATCCCTTCCCAATGCTGGGCCAGATAAACTGCTGCCGTAACCATTAAAGTTGTGCCCTTTCTTCCAAAAGTGGGCTGCTTGTGATTACTGTTATTATCCTGTATGTGTTTAGATGGCCCAGGTCTGCTCAGCTGTAGGCCAACAACGTATAGCCTCATCGTACAGCGAGTGTGTCCCAGCCTTGAGAGTAGGTGTTTGTCACATAGTCCTTTGTAGATCATCCGGCATACATTGATCCTTATATAAGAGATTATGTCTGAACGGGATTATGCTCCACCCACCCAATTTCTGGGGCAAAAGACAGAGAGGAGCAGAAGGAGCAGTCACATCAAATGACTGCTGGGAGGGAGTAAGATGTCCTGGGGTCAGGCAGATGGTCTTAGTCTAGATGCAGGAGTGCAAAGAGAAGCCCCTAAGAGACTTTGGGGACCAATTTCCCAAAGAAATGTTCCAGCATGGATATTTGGCAAACAGGGGAAACTTCTTGCCCAGTCAGTACATGATACAGACCCTGAAGCACCACAGCCTGTGAAGCCAGGAAGAAATATTGTTGCCAAGCTCTCCCCTATCACATGCACCCGTTGGGCATCATCTGTGGCATTTCGTTTCAGGCTTGCATTACAGCCAAAGTTCCCCATCATATTTTAACCAAGGGATTTAGCCTTAATATCAGTTAACAAACTAGAAGTAACAGCTATGTAACATCTGAACTCTGGCTGGACACGGACAAGCTTGCCTGGACCTATTTTATGTATTATAAATACCTGGTATAGGTTTCACTCTTCTCTGCAAAGAAGATGATCTCTTGAAATCCGCTAGGAACTTCAATAAGTCTTCGTCACTAAGCCTATCTCCTTCCTGTAAAAGCCAGACAACTTTGTAATACTTACTCTCTTTTTTGCAACTAATGATACAAAGAAGACATACGAAATAAATGTGGCGATTTGTGCCCTGCAGGCATTCATGTTCCTTATTAAAGCTTATCATAATAAAGAGGTCTGTGGCACATGAGCATGAGCTCTTGTGGAAGTTTTAAGGTACTACAGTCTGCTTTTGCTGCAGCCATCTAACATGGCTGCCCCATTCAAAAACATCTGTCACGCACTGCAATAATCAGTGCAACACAGGGCTAACTACAAATGGATAGTATGCAGGTTAAAGCTAATTTCCTTTTAACTTACAAGGTGGTATATTGCCCTCCTGAACATAATTAAGAAAGATCACCTTTAAAAAGAACTGAAAGCGTAATTGTTATAATGGTTAAGGTAGCAAGATGAATATTTGCAAAAAAAATTGGAAAACCGATAAACAAATTAATATTGAAGACTAATATAAAGAAATGTGGAGCTTAGCAATTAATGATAAGTTAACATGTGAAATGCAAATAAGAAGAGGAATTGTAAAGTCTAATGATTTTAAAGACATGGAATTTATATTTGGAGCATGTCTTTTGAAAGGGGAAAGGCTATATGCCAGCAAAAGAATCAATGTATTTTTGGAGAGGTATGGGGTGAAAAGGGATATAAATTGATACTAGTGGTCACCTGGTCCTGAGGGTGAAGGTGGCACAGGTGGGCATAGTTTAAAAAAAACTTACAAGGTGGTATAACAGGGCTTTACCCAGATCAAGTCTGCCACAAACATAGAGAGGTTAAAACTTTCCTCACAGCTATTTTTTCAAAACTAAATCCCTCCCTGCCACCACACATAGAAAACGAATAAAATGTGTGAAGGGAACTTTACTGGTGCCATTTAAGCTCTTCTTCTTTCTTTAGATCCGCAACGGAGGAGCTGAATTTAACCAGGGAGAAAATTAAGCCTCCCATACTATTTATGGCAGGGACAGGATGCTAGTGTACTTACTTGTAAGAAAAAAAGAAATTAACTTTAAGAAGGTTACTACACTTTTAAGGCAGCCTGAAGTTTTACCCTGAGGTTATGCCTTGTGCTCACTGACAAAAACATAATACTCCACAAACAATAAAACACAAAAACAAAAAGTACATGAAATACAATTAAGGCAAAAAAATGTTCACTATAAAAACTATGAAAATTGCAAAAGCAAGTTCAATGGTGTTATAATATTATCAACCACTAAACAATGATAGAAATCTTATTGCTTGCCATGCATGTGGAAGTCAAATGGCATAGTATTCCCTCACTTCAAGGTGGCAATTTACAAGTCACCTCTGGGAACTTTCACCCAGTGGGCATGTTATGCCCACTGGCTTCATGCTTACTCAAGAATGTCAGAAAGGACTTTTTAACTGCGAGCAAGAAGGCACTATAAGTTACACTATTTGCCTCTCATGTGCATAACAAAACAGGATTTCTCCCAGCATTCTCTAACTCTGCCTGAAGTACATGCAATAAAACTCTGTACTCTGTTTAAGTTGCTAAAACATTGTTTTCAGTATTTATTAGACAACGATGCTACTATTTAGGAATTTTCACTTGTGGTTTTTAATTTGTGATGTATAAATGTCAAAATTATGCTAGCAAAGGTACTCCTTCACTTTAATATATCTTGGTGCTATTTTGTGCCTCTCAGGGCTCTTCCAGATGGTATATTTGTGTTTCTTTCTCTGTCAAGAACTGATAATAACAGAAATTCCCACAACATCCAATCCTCTCATCCCACTTTGTTCCACCTTAAAAATTTTTATTCCAGGAGCCTCTCTGGTTCCCCTAAAGCCCTTGGGGTTTTTGTTGTTGTTGTTGTTTTTACATTGCTTTGTCTTAGGGTAGAATTCAGCACTACAGTATAGGACTTTCCATTTGCACTGCAGATCCCCAGTGGGAGCCATCCCAGTTGAAAGCTTTTAGTTTCAAAAGCTTCAATTTTTGATTACCGTTTGACGTATAAAGTTCACTGATGTTGATGTGGGATGAACAAAAGTAGGGCAGCACTCCAGGTAGGCACAAAGCCATGGACTAAAGTTTACTGGTTTGCATATTATCAGTATCCCACCTCCAGCCCTGCAGACAATGGCTTGGATGTAAGTAATGTTAAGCCCCTCACCAAACAACAGAAGAGGGGTCGGGGAACAAGGCAGTGCAAATACATGATCTGAAAGAGACCTAATGCAAAGCAAGCTGAAAGGAAAAAAGAATTTGTGTGTTGCTAAGATAAAAGCTAAATCCTGTGAAAACAAGTCTAGGATAACATACTTTACCTGCTTAAAAAATGTGTTGAGAGTCAGAGTGGTGGTTTTAAAGGTCACTGTGCCAGAAAAATCCTCTACACCTAGGCTTCTTTCAGATAATCTCCTGCCTTGTACTGCCATCATTTTTCTGTCACCAGTGGATCCTTTTCCTTAAGGAGTGAAATTTCACATGCATCTTATTTTGTTTCAACAAAACATGAAATATGACTATAGCTAGGTTATAAAATTTCAAGACCAAAATGTTTGATAGGCTTATATATTGTTTACATTTTCCATTATCTCAGCATTTAACCCCCCTAAATCCGAAAGCGGTACAGATCAAAATTAGGAAAGGATACAAATTATTATACGTTATAATTTTGAATGCTGAAGAAAAGCCAAGTCCTCAAACACTTTGTCATTAAAATGTCATATTACGTATATTAAACTAATGCATACCTGTACAGAGATACTTCTGTACTTAAACTTACCATTTAAAACATCTACTTCTGCTATATCTCTTTCAAGTGTTGAAATATTAAAAAAATTTGCTAAACTTATTGGAACCCAAGCAAAAGGCATGCGGTACTTTCCCAAACGTTGACAAAAGGACTCTGCTTGTGTTTTTAATTTTTCAACTTTTTCTTTGGTCTAAAAAGTAAACATAAAAAATATTAGCTAGAGTATAAGATATAACAAGTGCTTAAAGTAGATGGAATTTATTTATTTATTTATTACTTTCCCAAACGTTGACAAAAGGACTCTGCTTGTGTTTTTAATTTTTCAACTTTTTCTTTGGTCTAAAAAGTAAACATAAAAAATATTAGCTAGAGTATAAGATATAACAAGTGCTTAAAGTAGATGG